TAGCTGCAAAGCCTGCAGCTCATTAAGAGGTCCTGCCACGAAACACTTAAACGGTGTTGACGAAAAGCTGAACGCATGCTTTTCGGTTTTCAGCCGTAGCAGGAAAAAAGCTGCGCCGTTTAAAAATGCCGGCTTTCTGGGCCATCCTGCCAGGGCAAACTCTGACTGTTTGAGGCAGGAGGGCCGGCTACCGAGAGAGAGGACTTGAGTGTTGTCTGTTGTAGCTCACTTGCTGGCAGGGACCTTGAAATGCCATACAGTTGTTGCAGTAAACATAGCTACAGCCTGTATATCCGCCATGAAGCTGGAAAGCTAAGGAATGGACTGGATCTAGCTGGCAAAGCCACGCCTTTAATCCTACTGATATTGCTTGGTAAATTAAAGACTCATGTGGTCAGAAAAAGAGAGAGATATACAGTAAAGAGAGATTCAAAGACAGAGAAAATTTCTAAATGGTTTAAAGTGGGTTAAAAATATATGCAGACTAAAAGTTGAAGTTCTTAAAGTAAAAAACAAAAAAAGGAAGAGAGTTGTTGTGTGTGGTAGCACACGCCTTTAATCCCAGTACCTAGAAAGCAGAGGCAAACAGATCTCTGTGAGTTCAAGGTGTAGTAGCTTACACCTTTAATCCCAATGCCTGGGAGGCAGAGACAGGTGGATCTCTGAGAGTTCAAAGACAGCCTGGTCTACAGAGTTACTTCAGGTCAAAGATACTGAGAACCTGTCTCAAAAAGCAAAGAGCTAAAAGTAAAAATAAACAAAATAGAGGTTAAAACAAAGCTGCACAAAGATGGAAACTACACAGAGAATTTTGATACTGTATGCTATTATGCTCTCTTTGAATTATTTGAATGCTGAGGAAGGAGCAACAGCTGCTAAAAGATATTTATTTATAAATGCTGCTGAACTAATCCAACATAGATATTTTGAATTTGGATCTAAGGATATGATACTTTGGAAAGGAGTTTCTTATTTTGTTTTCACAGAGGATGAGACGCTGTTCATTTCTTATATTCCGATTTGGTATGATGGACCACGCCCTCCTGAAGGGTTGTTGTGAACATCTTCAGAAAATTGCTTCGCTCAACTGCCAACTGAGATGAAACTAGCACACAGGTTATGCCATGAAAGACCTAATTAATGATGCCCCCATTCAGCAGGAAGCAGTTTGGAGAGAAAAAACTGCGCCCATGTTCCCAAATATGGTTTATAAACGTTCTTTTACATTTAAAGGGGGATACGATATAGGTATGAATAATTTGCATTAGTATAGATTTTGCTTTATTGATAGAGATTTAAGGCCAATTTTGTTATATATATAAGTGTTTCTGATTTTGATTAAGGTATTGTGATTGTGTAGTTCATTTAAATATGTACTGTATAATTAAGAAATATAGGTTGTTAATGGAGAATCATCGATAATAGTAAAGCTTGTAGTCATATTAATTAGATTTTCTAGATATATAGAGATATATTTTAGATAGACATTCTTCATGTCTTCCAAAGATTACAGAATAGGACATTTAATGTTTTAATAACTGAGGACTTTTCATGACAATGAGACACTCTGCTCCTGGCAGCACCAATGTACTTCAAGAGAAAGATGGGCATCGAAGAGGCACCTTATGGAGTTTGATAGCCATTTGGGCAAGAAACTGCTCTTGCCTGGACTATTGCATAAACTGGACACAGAGAACCCGCAGAGAGAGGACTACTGAACTTGCCTAAGGTGAGATGATCTTTCGGGGTTCCTGATTCATGAAAGAGTCTGCGAGACATTCTGCAGGACACAACAGATAGTGACTGAACTGACTTTGAATTTTCCTGCTTGATGGAAATGTCTGCTGGATAGCATGGGCCTGAAGGCTGCAGATGGATGCCCCAACGGTACAGAGGAACTTTGGGTGACTGTCCAGGCAGCGAGATGTCTCTGTCATTTCTAGCGTTTTAAAAGTTGCTTTTTTCTTGTTTGCTTGGGTCATATTGTATCTTTCTGGAGTCTTTGATGGAGTTAAGAATAGTTAGTTATAGTTATAGTTTTCCTTAGTTATGATAAAGATTATTGTAACTTTTACTTGATAACTGTTTTGTTATATGTAATTTTGCTATGTTAAAGTTAAAGCCTTTTTTTTTTTGTTTAAACCGAAAAAGGGGAAATGATGGAGGAAGGTCATTGGCTAATAAAGGAACTGCCTTGGCCCATTTTATTGGTTAGAAGATAGGTGGAGTAAACAGAACAGGATACTGGGAGGAAGAGGAAGTGAGCTCAGAGTCTCGACACAGCTCTCCTCTCGGGAGTAGACGCCTGAGAGAGACGCCATGCTCCGCTCCCGGGATGAAGCTCCGACCCAGGATGGACATAGGCTAGAATCTTCCTGGTAAGCGCACCTTGGGGTGCTACACACAGATGATTAGAAATGGGCTAAATTAATATGTGAGAATTAGCCTAGAAGAGAATGGGCCAAGCAGTGTTTAAAAGAATACAGTGTCCGTGTAATTATTTCGGGGCATAAGCTAGCTGAGCAGGCAGCCGGGGTGCTGGGGACACAGCGCCGCCGCCCTTTATTACTACAAGTGCTAGTTCCTGTTATTTTTTATTGTTGGTGATATTATTGTGTGTTTTTTTTTCATTCTTTGGGATTTGCTGCTATGAGATCATCTATTTTCTGTGGTTTTGTGGATGTAGCTAACTTCCTTGGGTTGGAGTTTTCCTTGTAGTACTTTGTGTAGGGCTGGGTTTGTGGCTAGATATCGGTTAAATCTGGTTCTGTCATGGAATATCTTGTTTTGTCCGTCTATGGTAATTGAAAGTTTTGCTGGGTATAGTAGTCTGTGGTCTCTTAATGTCTGCAAAACGCTTGACCACAACCTTCTGGCTTTCATTGTCTCCAATGAGAAGTCAGGTGTAATTCTGATAGGTCCACCTTTATGTGTTACTTAGCCTTTTCCCTTTGCAGATCTTAATATTCTTTCTTTATTCTGTATGTTTAGTGTTTTGATTATTATGTGGCAAGGGGACTTTTTTTCTCTCAACCCAGTCTATTTGGTGTTCTATAAGCTTCTTGTATCTTCATAAGCATATCTTCCTTTAGGTTGGGAAAGTTTTCTTCTATGATTTTGTTAAATATATTTTCTGTGCTTTTTAGGTGGACTTATCCTTTTATCCCTGTTATTCTTAAGCTTGGTCTTTTCATGGTGTCCTATATTTCCTGGATATATTTCTGTGTTAAGCTTTTGTTAGATTTAATGTTTTCTTTGACTCTATTTTTCCTCTATTGTATCTTTAGCACTTGAGATTCTTTCTTCTATCTCTTGTATTCTGCTGTTTATGCTTGCACTTGTGATTCCTGAGCATTTTATCATATTTTGTTTTTCCAGAATTTCCTTGGTTTGTGTTTGCTTTATTGTCTCTATTTCTGTTTTCAAGTCTTGAATCGTTCATCTGTTTGATTGCTTTTTCATGGTTTTCTTTAAGTAATTTGTTGATTTCTTCCAATTTTTTGTCTTTTTCTCCAATTTTTTGAGGGCATTTTTCATTTCCTCAAACATTCTCCTAAAGTTATATATTAGGTCATTTTCTTCTGCTTCATCTTTATTTGGGTGTTTAAGTCTTGCTGTTGTAGGGCCACCTGTTTTTGTTGGTGTCATGTTGCTCTTCAATGGTGTTGAGTGTGTTCTTACCTTGTCTACCCATCTTCTCCTCTGATTGGTGTAGTTGGGGCTGTGTCTCCGGTGATAAATCTTCCAGGTGCCAGTGGATCCAAGGCTAGATAGTTGCTCCTCCTGGTGCTGTCAGGGTCACAGTTCCAGTCACCCCAGAGGTCATGCGGTGTTCCAGGAAGTTGCTCAGCACTTGGGGAATTGTTCTGCAATCCTGGAGGTTGTTCAGGCCTGTTCCTATGGAGCTTGCTTGTTTGGGGCTGCTCCTGCTGAGGTTACTGCCTTGGGCCTGCTCCAGCAGAGGTCGCTGGCTGGCTCAGGCCTGCTCCAGAGGAGGTCGCTGGCTCGGGCCTGCTCCAGCAGAGGTTTTTTTCACAGCCTACTGTTCTTTATTATATCTTTTGATGATCAACTTTGAGAAGTTGGAAGAAGAAAAAGGTAGATGCATATAATCTGTGACTTGGGGCTGTTACCTACCAACAAGTTAGTGGTTCTGGTGTTCCCAGTGGCCAGAGAATGCCCAATGGCACAGCTTCCAGACAAAGAGACAGCTAGCCTCGTTTTCCTGTCCCTCTACCTGCACTGAAGCCTGTCTCAGTCCAAACTCGGACAGCCTTTCTGAGAACCCACACTCTCTCCCGGAATGCTCATCAAGAGCTACCAGGCTTCTCACAAAGCGCACCCAGGGAAAATCCAGTTTCCTTTTCGGGGCTCCTCTTTCCCATTTGCAGTTGAGATGGAGTTAAAGGGGAGGAAGTTGGACTGAATCAATGTGTTCCTTTTTTGTGTTTTTAATGGTCCTAGGGGTTGAAACAAGGGCCTCACATATTGGAGGCAAGTTCTCCACCTTCCTCATCTCAGTGCTGGCTACAGACTGGGGTCAGCAAAGAGACTCATGAAGGAGTGGGTGTGTGTGGTGTACAGATGGGAGACATCTGTCCTTAGCCTTGCTTGACAAAAACTGTCACATCTGTCCAGGTTCACTGGGACAGAGAGGACGTGCTGCTGGCTCTGGGGAATGTGTTCCAGAACTAAGCAAAAGGCTGTGCCAGTACATAAGGCTTGGCATAGGGCTTCCTATTGCGTTTGGAGGGGACATCTCCATGTTGTTGGCCTTGTGAGGGTAGGCACTCCCCATCTTCACTTCCACACGGAGCAGGGCTCAGTTATAGGTGCTATTGACCCACTTGGGCAAGCCCCTCCTCTTCCATGTGGCTTCTGGTGGACCTTCCAGAATGTAAATCCTATAGCCCCAGGTTTCCCAAGGCAACTGCTGGAGAACATTAGGAAGCAGGACCTGTGTCCAAGCTTCCTGTGATGCCGACCCTCATCTCTTTCAGATGCATTTCATCTTCTCAGATGAGGCTGTGCTTCTGTTTGATTTCTGGAGAGTCCACAGTCCTACAGGTAAGAATCGGGAAAGTCAGTGCCAGGCAGCAGAAAACCTGGATTCTCTTTATTTTCTGTGAGCAGTGAAGGCACATAGAGCTAGAACTGTGCATTTATTATTCTAAGGCAGGCTAGGAATAATTCAGATGCCTGCTGTGGCAGTTATGCCCTTCCCTACAATGGATGGCCATTGTCCAGCTACAGACTAAGCTGTGAAATAGAAGAGCACTTTGTTAGTATCTCACCAAGATTCTGTGGGTTGACTATGCTAACTGAGCAGTCTGCACTCAGGGCCTCTCATTCAGTGGAGGGAGCCAGACAGTGGCTGGATACAGTCTTTTGAGGTGCGTTTAGAGTCTTGTCCTGGTTGTGAGCTGCAGCCTCAGCTGGGCTTCATCTGAGCCCCACAGTGGCTCCTCCTATAGTGTGGGCTTCCTCATGGCAGAGTGGCTAGGTTTTAAGAGCAGCTATCCTAAAAAGAACATGGGTGAAATACATGATTTAAAAACCTACCCTAGGGGCTAGGGAAGGCTCAGTTGGTAAAGTGCTTGCTGAGAGAGCATCAAGACCTTAATTTGGTTCCTAGCACCCATGTAAAAGACAGGCATGGCAGCATCCACCTGAAATCCTTGCCCTGAAGAGTAGAGACAGGAGGATTCCTGGGACTTGCTAGCCAGGCAGCCTATCTTTAGTTTCAGCAAGAGATGCAGTCTAAAAAAAATAGAGAGCACTGATGCCTAATGTTGACCCCTGATTTCTACACACATGTGCATGCATACACATGAATATGCACACATATACACATTTACATACAAAAATAAAACCTACACTTGGAAGTTACATAGCATTATCTTCACCTATTGACTGATCCTTTGACCCTTCGGGCTAAAAGGGAGGGAACATGGATCCCATCTCATGTTGGAAGGAGGGCGCGAGTAGGATATATGGGAGTGAACATCTTTGAAACTTACACTCTATCATAGATACTATAGAATAACCTGGAAAAAATAAGGCAGATGTATATGAACAGAAGGGAGTCCATGTCCTGTGGGAGTTGGATAATGAAGCTGGATGCAAGTGAGTAAAATCAAGGCTATGACCCAACAAGTGCCATCAACCATTTGCTGAAGCAACTCTCAGAACTCAGGGAAATGCTTTACATAGGCATAAATAAGCCACTAGCCAGTGGTGATCAACTCAGCCTGCAGCCCACCTGTTCCCCAGAATCTAGGAGTAAGGCTGAGTGTTCCAATCTTCTTATGGAATACTGGTTCCCCTCTATCCTGAGGTACTGAGCTACTTAGGGCTTCAGCCACAAGTTGTTGGCACATATAAGCTCCCACTAGCAAGTGTTTATTGAATACAGGGTATCTTTGTAAACTCAGTGCACCTACCTCCGCTTCCTCAGTGCTGAGGTCACAGGTATGCACTGCCACTCCTAGTTCCAAATCTATTGTTATGCCATAAAGCCTCATAAAATACTTTGGATGGACCATCTTGTGTTGTAAAACACAGGTAGCATCAGAGTTCATTTTACCTAGAGGCACAAATAAATACTTACTATTCTCTAACTTGTTGGATTTTTCTCTTTAATGTAATACGTGGAATACTAATAGACAATATTTAGGAAAATTGGGCAAAGAGGAAAATAAACACCCACTGTGTTCTAACATGTTGCTCTCCTGCCACACCCTCTCCCTGGTATACCTGAATGTGAAAAGAGTATGCCTCTAGGTGTACACCCCTCCATTTGCAAGAAATCTTTATAGAGATGTGTGCACAATGTGGGGGAGCTATTTGGATGGTGCTGTGTAGCTTCTTCACCCTCAACCCCTGGCTCTGCCAGAATGAGAACCACATTTCAGCATGTCAGAACTACTAAGAAATGTCTAGAGAAGCAAAGGGATGATGAAGGTCTGAGCTTAATGAAGGTGAGGAGGAAGAGACCAGTGGCTGGAGTGGAGAGGGGGCTGTCCTGACTCCCGGGACAGCCCCCTGGGGAGTGTCTTGGGGAGAAGCAGTGCTTTTCAGCGAGCTCTACAACTTGGCTTGCTTGTTCTGGGGCACTGGGGATCAAACCTTGAGCCTCACTTGTGCTAGGCAAGCATTGTGTCTCTGGGCCTTTTTACTTTTTGAGATGTAACCTCACTAAATTGTTTAGGTTAGCTTGGAGTCCACTCTAGCCCAGGCCAGCAGGAAACCGTGATCTCTCAGCCATCAGAGTACCTGCAATTACATACAATACAACCTGTGTCCAACATCCATGTTGCTTCTTTATTTATATGCATGTACACTTATGTGGAAGTGGATGTGCATCTGTATGTGTGTCCATGTGCATGTCAGAGGACAGCATCCTCGTTTTTAAGACAGGGTTTTTAACTGACTTGGAACCTGCCTAGTAAGCTAGGCTGGACTGGCCAGCAAGCCCAGGTATCTGGCTGTGTTTGCTTCCCCAGTGCTGGGAGTACAGCAGAGATGACTGCTGCTGCTGCCCCCACCACTTCCTACTTCCTCCTCTCCTCCTCCTCCTCCTCCTCCTCCTCCTCCTCCTCCTCCTCCTCCTCACAAATCTACCTCTGCTTTTTAATGCATGCCACCACACCTGACCCACTTACTTATCTTTAATTGTCAAAAACTGTCCATCTTTTGTAATCTAATATGAAAACAGTTCAAGGTCATCTAACCCATCAACACATCTCCTTTGGCATGAGACATTCAATCTCAATTGTAGGGTAAGAATTTTAAAACAGGAAGCATAATGTAGAAACATTATGGTGTCTTGTGTAACGGAGAGTGAAAAGAGTAAGAGGTAGGGTTAATCTAAATACTAGGATATTGCATGGAAGGCAGAATATTTGAGTAGTAACTATGATTCGAGAGAAAATTGGTCATGGGTCAGTTGTTCTGGGAAGCTTCACTCAGGGGAGAGATGAGAATTCAGTGCCCAGGTGCAGAGACTGTAAGATCATTCTTACATCATCCATCCTCTTTTTAGTTAGAAGGTTTTTCAAATGAGATTCCTGATTTGAACACAAAATCAGATGAATCTTGTTTTGTGCATAATGCTACTTTGCCAGAAACCTATTTTCAACTTGTAGATGCTAGCATATCATTAATAAACCAAGGCTGCATCTCCAGAATTTTACTGCTCCCCTCTGCTCTTCTTGGCAGTGTTATGTGAGCTATGTGAAAATCAGCAAAGAAATCCTTACTGTTATGTTTTTCTACCTGCTGTGGGAAGAATTGGCACCTAAGGCTGTGTCTGCATTACTTATACCTCTTTGATAGATTAAATCTTTACTGTACCAGTGAGCTTTTAAAGACATGTCTATAAACGTTTAAAGATTACACAGGTGTTCACCCTGACTGCAAACAAAGACTCCTATTTGTGGTTGAAAAACTAAAATTAAATATATAGCAGTGTCCTGCAAAACCATGGACTCTGCTCTAAACAGAACCTTGACTGGACATGCCCTACCGATTTGTTACTCTTTACACATTTTTGGAGTTCAACAAATAACGAATCAGTAGAGACATTTCCCTGATCCTGTACTTCTAAAATTAATCTCTCTTACGGTGCCTTTTCATAAAGGAACTATTGTGTTCGTAGTCTAACAATGTGGCAATATCCTAAAGGACGTTCATTGTGAAAGGCCCCTATGCTCACAGACATTCTTAAAGCTATTTTCTTATCTTCTCTGCACTGTTACTAGCACTGTAGTGGTATTTTAATATGTTACCAAAAGATGAGATTTTTATTTTTGGAAAGTATTGTTCAGAAAACCCCTGAGGACTTTGGTAATAACTGGAATATCTGATTCTAGTCTCTAAAACTCAAGATTTAAAGTTTCTTTTTAATAAGTGTTAATTCTTTATGAATTTTTACTTATAATCACCTTCTATTTGGAGAACATTAATATAATACATCTTTAGCTTTCAGGTTGCCACATTGTTGCCTGCCATTTATTTATTCTGCATAATAGAGATTGTGAGATAAATTACTGAAATATTTCACAAAGAAACAGTAAAATCTTGATAATTATGGAGTATGAGCATTGTAATAATTTTCTGCAGTATGATAAAAGAATTCTATTTTTAGGTATCAGAAAAACAAAAACAAACTGTCCCTCTTATGTGGCTTTGAGATGTTTCAGTACATGCATAGGTTAAGTAGCATCCGAATCAGGGCCAGCCCACCTGTCTTTAAATTTCTATGATGAAAACATGTAAAACCCTCCCCTAGCTTTTTTGAGACGTGATACACTATCATTATCTGCAATTGCCATGCAGGACATGGCACACCCAAACCTATTTTCACCTTTGCCTCTTCGCAGGCATGGCCCTCTCAGTGCTGGTTGTCTTGCTCCTGGCTGTACTGTATGAAGGCACCAAGGTTGCCAAAGCCAAGTTGCTCCACAAGACTCTGGAGAACCTGCCTAATACGACTAGCCAGCAGCTCATCCTGGAATCAGACCAGGACTCTACAGGCTCCAGATCAACTCCAGCCGATGACCACCGCCTCAGGTACAAACCACGAGTAGAAGGATGGCAGGAGAAGTCACTATCGCCCAGACAGGCGGCTGGGCCAGAGAACCTTAGCCCCACACATAGAAAGATAATTTGGGCCCCAGGGAGTTTTAGTAAGATGAATCAAAGCCTGGGTCTGTGGTATCTGGGCCAAAGCGACCTATCAAACAGCCTCTTGGGTGGATCCCAAGGATTTCTCAGGGGTCTGCAGGGAACTTTAAACCTATGCTGCAGGCCTGTCACCAGGCTCCCAAACTCAAGAGAACTGCCATCAGCCTAGTGTCCCACTTTTTCCATGCTGCAGGCCCCACCTGCATTTCCTGCGACCTCACCTATGCTTAACGAGCCTGCCTGTTACATCAGCAGCCACTTTACTGGGTGTCTACACCCTCATAACCATCCAGTGTTTCACTGATAGGAAAACCAGTACTCAAAAGGTTCAGAGATTTAATAGGCACCCAAGTCCCTGTTCTTTTCACGGCTCCTCCACCTCCCACATTCAATTCAAGGGAGAGACTGGCTTCCCAATGATTGCTTCTTATTTCTTGTCAGACAAAATTGACTACATAAACTATAATGGTTTCTCCATTTGCCTAGGACGGCAGGAAGCTCAGAGCTAAATGTGGTGGGGATGTCTTTGGAGAGAAATCTCCGCTAGGTAAAATATGTTGTGCTGGGGCTCCGGAGCTTTCTGTCCCCAACAAAACACATCTGCTCATCACTGTGTAACTAACTTGTTTCTCTTTTATGCCTAGGTGGTTTTTGTGTTACTTTGGCCAGTCCCTAGTCCATGTCATTCAGGTGGTCCTTGGCTACTTTGTGATGCTGGCTATAATGTCCTACAACACCTGGATTTTCCTCGGTGCGATCGTGGGCTTGGGTGTGGGCTATTACCTAGCCTACCCACTTCTCAGCATGACTTAGTGGGCCAGTAGGTGCTGAGTGCTGGAGAGAGCTGGGGCCCGCGCTCCAGGCACTGTACTTCCAGCTGCTGTTTCTTATGATGGCCATTGCTCACCTCTTTCCCAGTTCCTGGCAGCATTGAGCTGAAGCCAGCAAATGGTCCATGGAGCTTAGAGGCCATTGGATCTACCTCCCCTCCCAACCTGGACTACAAAGGGCCCAGGCCTCCTATGGTGCCTTAAGCAAGTGGCTGTGACCAAAGGGAACATGGAGAGACTGGAACCTGGAGGCAGAGTAGCCAGGCTGTGATCATAGATCTCAGACTGCAAATTAAAATTTTCCAGAGAGCTTCAGTGAGGAAGGCCATGGAACCTGGATACCCTCTTCTGCTTTGTGCCTTAATGCCGGGGCATCTCCAGTCTTGGGGGATGGACCATGCCAGCACCTTCTCACCTTTTTGCCTTGGAACACATAAAGACTGCCATTGACAAAACAAGTTTTCGCTTTGAACTCCTGATTGGCAATTTTGCACATCCATACAAAACAAAGTTCCTAATGAACTCACTGTGTTCATGATGACAGCAGTGCCTGCAGCAGGCCAGTCTTGTGACCAGGGCCTTCCCCAGTCCTCTTGTCTGCATCATAGAGAACAGCATTTCCTAACAGAGCGGCTGCCTCTTACTTCTTACTTGCTGCTGACGCCTAATGACTTGGTAGGGAGCCATGAGTCAGTCACTGCAGTACTGATTCGGCAGGGGTGTGTGGGGGAGGGGTGCTGACAGGTGCAATAAGCAGTCAAACCAAAGCCAGGTCATGTTAAGAGTTAAGTGAACTCCAGGTATTTGAGCCGTTTCACTTTACAGAAAAAAGTTAAGAGACAGGAATGGGGATACATACCTGTAATCCCCAGGAGGCTGAGCCTGGAGATCATGGGCTTGAGGGCGGCCTAGTCTACATAGAGGTCCAGGCTAGCCTGGGATGCATGGTGAAACATACACACATACACACATGGCAGTCATTGCTTCATCTATAGTGTCTATATTCAAGTACCTTACTGACTCAATGAAAAGATGGTTTTAAGCTTTGGGAATTATAAACAAATACACTTTAATAAATTTCTATTTTGAACAGTCTGTGGTTGTTGGTCTGTTTCTCTCTTTCCCAACAGTACACAGCTCTTACATGTTAGCACTGCAGGAGCTAGGGGAGACCAAGGACTAAGACTACATGTAGTAAAGACAGCTCTGTGGGCAGAGAAACTACATCTGCAAATATACCTGTTGGCAGACAGCCAGAGTATCAACTTGGTCATGTTAGGTTCATGTAACAAGTACCTGCTTGTACTGAGGAGGCACCTTGTTTGTTCCTGGCTGTTCAACTCCAAAATAACCACACAAACTGTATTAATTAAATCACTGCTTGGCCCATTAGTTCTAGCTTCTTATTGGCTAGCTCTTACATCTTAATTTAACCCATTTCTATTAATCTGTGTATCGCCACATAGCTGTGGCTTAACAGTAAGGTTCTGTCTAGGGTCTCTCTCTGGCAGGGCAACATGGCTTCTCCTGACTCTGCCTTCTTTCTCCCAGCATTCAGTTTAGTTTTCCCCACCTACCTCTATTCTGCCTTGCACAGACTCAAGACAGTTTCTTTATTAACCAATGGTATTCACAGCATACAAAGGGGAATCCCACATCACCTGCTCTAAGAAGAGTAACTGTCACATAGACTATAAACACCTGTGATGGCATGACAGCACCTTCCCTTCCTGGGGGGAAGAAGTAACACCCGTGGCCATCTTGTCATTTGCAATAAGAAGCAAGAGTCACAGGAAGTATAGCATGGGGCACCTGTGGGATTGCTTGTTGTGGTCCCTCTGTCCACTGACAGCCTGTGGAGCTGCTCCTCTCAGCAGAGTTGGGACAGCCTATGCTAAGGCTCTCAGTTTCAGCGCCCAGGGCACTGCCAGGATAGACTCTCTTACGAGTGACTAGCAGGATCCTCTTTTATTACAGTCATGATATTTGAGATTTTGTGGGGTCTTTATAAAATTTTTTGCTTATGGTCGATAAAGTGAATATATGGTTAGACTTTGGTAAAGTGTGTCCTCATTTTAGTATTCTTCAGAGCCAACTCACAAAAAGTATTTTCCCTACTTAATTTTCTTAAAAAAACCAAACAAGTACCTATATAAGTCCTGACTAAGTGCCTGAGAGTTCCAGCCCTTTGTGCAGTTAACTCATTCAGTCCTCACCACCACACAGGAACTACCTGCCTACATCTCAGAGAGAAGGAAGCTGAAGTGTGAGACAGTCACCTGTCAGATCAGCTCAGATGAGGGGCACAGGTCACACAGCACCTGTGGAGACTGAAGATGCTAAGTCTGTGTTCTTTGTTTCCACAGTGGCTGGAAATTCAGATTTGGACGAAGCCGGGAGCCTGAACTTTTCTTTAGTGCTATCAAATCAAGGGCTTGCGCATGCGAGGCAAGTACTCTACCACTGAGATACACTGCCCTGGAAGCTGCATCCTAGCAAGCAGCATGAGCTCCTTTCCTCTAGCCAAGGACAGGCAGGATGGTGGGCAAGAGCCCAGCTTTTGACCAGCTGGGCAGGACCAGAATTCTTGTACTGCTCGCTATGTGGAACTGTGGACAGCTTACTCTAAGCCTGGGGATAACAGGACCAGGGCTCAGCAGTTAGCAGCACTTAACTGCTCTTGTAGAGGACCTGGGTTTGGTTCTCAGCTCTCATAAGTAGCTCGTGTAATCCTGGGGATTACAGGTCTGTGTCCCCATTCCTGTTTCTTAACTTCTTTCTATAAAGTGAAAAGACTCAGATACCTGGAGTTCACGTGACTCTTAACATGACCTGGCTTTTGTCTGAGTGCTTACTGCACCTCAGTCAGCACCCCTCCCCCACCACATCCCTGCTGAATCAGTACTTCTGAATCAGACTGTCTGGAATGCCCAGTGCCAGAGGCTCTGCTGCTTTCTTCTGCCTCTGCATCCACATGGTACACAGACACACATGCAGGCCAAACACCCATACACATCAAATAATGAATCTTTTTTAAAATGGGGATAACCATGTCTTCTTCAATGACTGGCACTGTACAGACTGTCTCATTGCTACGAGCCACTGCAGAAGACACTGTTATCCATACTTTACAGGGAAAACTGAGGCTTAGAGCTTGAAGTAACTTGTTTAAATAACTGTTTAATACAGTCTTTCTTGAGGTTTCCTAGGCCAAAATCTGGGAGTCAAGCACAAAACCTGCAAAATGCAATAAAATTCAGGATACAATCTTAAAAACATTTAAAATCATGGAACATTTTTTTTTTCTTAAATTTTGGAGATTGGCTGCATGGCCTTTAGAAGATTCTAGAATAGTAAAAGGCTACATGTATTTTCTCACTGCTCCTCTTTGCAGTAGTGTTGGCCCCTGGGGTTCACAGAACCCCTCAGGTATCGTAAACAGTGGGTATTACAGACCCCTGCTTCTCTTCCCTGAATGGCTTCTTAGCCTGCTGTAGAGCCCACAGATATCAGCATAGGGTGGATAAAGTCCTCATACAGCTACAATGCCCTCAGCCTTCTGCAGCTGTTGTGAGCTGGAACTGCAAGGTCAGTGCCAACAGAAATATGTCACAGTGTTTTTATGCACATTAACTCACCAAGTTACAACTCCCATCCTTAGGATCCCAAGAAAGAGCATGATAGCCCTAGAAACCAAACTCAGTTTCTCCTAAAGGGTCCAGGCCAAGTTTTATTGTAGGCATTTATTTTAATCTTGTTAATTCCAAATACTTATTGACCTCTAAGATTTAAGGCAGAGATAGAAGATACATGTCCCAGAGCCACAGGCCAGGCCAGCATGATCTCTCAATTCTCCGAGGAGACCCCTCCCCAGACTACACGGCCTGTTGCTGCAGCTCTGGTGAGCCCTGGGAGAGCAGGAGGGTCATGGGTCAACTTGAGAATGAATGGCTGCAGGTGACCCTCCTAGCCCTTCCTCCACGGTAGAGACACTCACTGACGGCTCGTACACCACCAGTTCTGCAGACAGGCTCATGGTCCTCTTCACCAGGTCAGGCAGGGGCTCAGATGACAGCTAACCCAACGTCTGAACCACTGTCCTCAGAATGTCTACCAGGACCTCACCCTGAAGCTTGCCTCGATCTGAGGCCAGCTGTGCAAAATCATGCTTTGGAAAGGGCTGGGAGAGAAACCTGCATGCCTGTTTCCTAGGTCTTCACCCCAGCCAGTCATCGTCATCATCATCATCTCCAAAAAGGGGTGTTGGGGGCGGGCGCCCCTTCATGCTCTGACAAAACAGGAAAGAGAGGTCAGTTCTCATATATCCCTGCCCAGGTGGCTTCCTGCCTATGAGCGGAAGTGGTCCAATGGCTGTCCTGCCTCTGGCTGGAAAGGAGATGAACTAGAAGGACAGGCTTGGTGGCTAAAGAACTGATCCAGACAAAGCTGGGACAAGCAGGCATTGAGGGAAGCCATCTTTTGACAGAGACAAAGACCAACTTTGCTTGGCTGATTTTGTAATTTATTTGTGAAATATGTATTGATTGGGCAGATATGCCAACTTACAAGTTTTGTTTGGAAAAAGAAGGTTCATTAAGGAGCAATGGGGAAAGAGAAAGAAACAGAAGCAAAGCAGCCTGGGAGAATTGACAGAAGATGACAGAAGTTCAGAGAAGTACAATCACATTAAAAAACCAGCTGTGGCCTGAGGTGGCCAAAGATGTGAATGTAGAGGCATGTCTAAGAGAAAAAGAAAGGCCACAAAGGCAGAGCCATGCTCTCTTTAAAGGGGCTAAAGGGTTCTAGGACCCTCTAAGAGTCCCAACCAAAGGATACTGTGTTACAGGTTCAAGTCCTCGGCTTGGTACTGTTGGAAGTGGTGGAAAGCTTTTGCGATGGGCCCAGTAAGAGGACTCAGGTGATTATAGGCTGCCCTCAAAGGGACAGTGGAATCCAGACCCCCCTTCATCACTCTTTCACTTCCTGACCACTGAGAGAATGCTTTTTCTCTACACAAGTCTAATAGCAGTGGAGTGAACCCACTGTGGACTAAAACCTCTGAAACTTTGAACCAAAATATACAGTCTCTTTGAACACTTCTGGTGTCAATAACAATGCTGACTAACACCAGCAGCCGAGTGGGAGGTTCTCTTCCTCTTTCCATGATGGAAGCTCTGGCCTGTCATCTGCTTTGGTAGGGAAAAGGACTGGAAGCTACAGACATGCAGAACATAGAACTATAGACGTATTAGGAGAAGGTTAAATGAGAATGTGGAGTATTTTTCTGAATACCCAAGAAACAGATGATTAGCTTGATGGAACTGGCAGTAATACCATCAATATACTGCTCGCCATTTGGGATACTCATCTTTATTTTCTATGCAGAATCTGTAGTTAGTATTCTCAAATGCAAAGTGAATTCTCAGGAAGGTATGCTAATGGGGTAAGATGACGCCTTCTCTGCAAGCAAGAGGAAGGGCTCTGGTTCATCTGAGTTAGGTTCCAGATGTCATTGCCTTCAGGCAAAAAGCAAAACCCACTCCAGATGGATGGTATAGAAGGACAATAGGCTTTGCCCATGTTCAACCTCATAGTTCTTTCCTGGATCTAATGCTCCTGTCTCCTCCACACACTTTGTAACAGTGAAATTCCCACTCGTCCAGTATCAGATGGACAAGCCTGGGCTCCAATCCTGGCTCTCTCGACAACTTCCTTTGTGGTCCCTGACTCTCCTGCTTCCTAACTTGAAGCAACACTGTCAACACTGAATCCATCTGCTGCTCAGGTGTTAAGATAACAAAACAGGCAGCAGACTGGAAGTGGGCCAGGTGAACAGTTCTTAGAAACAAGTGGCCCAAGAGAAGCCTGGGCTCAGTCCTGTCTACCATTAACCTCCTGCAAATGATTTTCTAACCTGTTTCTTTTTCTACGGAGGAGGAGAGCCAACAAGTTGGATTCAGAATCCTTCCCACCTTCCCTTACTACAAACAGGACTGATTCCCCAGGGGACAGAGATCATGATACCCTTTTAGGATTACAGTGGCAGCTTAAAGAAATGCCCACTCTGGACCCCCAAGCTCACTCCTACAGGGTCCTGTACACATAGTCCAGGAAGTAGGCCACCAACAGACTCCTTTTCTCTTCTCTGAGACTGCAGGGAAGAGCCCCCAGGTGGTGGTATGAGGACTCAGCAGAGTCTGAGATTTCCTTACCACCTCGTCTTCATCCTCTTCCTCAGTCTGGACTTTGGGCCTTGGAACTTTCAGAGTTGCCCCTTTAAACAGTTCATCCTCTTCATCCCCAGAGAGACTAAAGAAGAATCAAGCCACAGATACTTGCTGTTTCTGCCAGGGTCACAGTGCCCACCAGCTATGAAAGTTATGGATCCTGAATTGAGACCCACATACCCAATTCAAATATCTCTTCCCACACCGGGCATACATCCCTCCAGAGACCACACCCTGTATAATCCCCTTCACAGTCCTACACTGCATTAGCCCCTCTACAGTCTACAGCCAGCTGTAGCATACAGTGTCCCCTCTGTATGCTATGACTATGTTCTGTTATCATTGGTTAATAAAGAAGCTGCTTTAGCCTATGGCAGGGCAGAATATAGGTAGATGGGAAAACTAAACTGACTGCAGGGAGAAAGAAGGCAGAGTCAGGGAGACACCATGGGGCTGCTGAAGGAGAAAGACACCAGAACCTTGCTGGTAAACCACAGCCTCATGGTGATACACAGATGAATAGAACTGGGTTAATTTAAGATGTAAGAGCTAGCTAGAAATATGCCTGAGCCATCGGCCAAAGAATGTTGTAATTAATATAGTTTTAATGTGATTATTGACGTCTGAGAGGCCAGGAAATGGAAAAGCAGTCTTTGATTATTGCCAGCACAATTGTTAAAGCTAATAAATCACATTCCACTACTCTTCTGCTTAAATCCTTTGACTGGCTTCATATTATATTTGCATAAAATAATCATGTATCTTGGCCCTTTATTTTCCAACTTCAACTTTACCCTACTGGTCCCCTATGGTGTGTCCATCCCTCCAGAGCACCTTTGTGTGCTCCTCTCTCTGCAATGTCTTCCTGCTGTCAGGTTGGATGACTCAGTACTCCTTGGATCACAGTTAAGCTCCTCGGACCCATAAACCTTACACCTGCCCTGCCTGCTACACTACCATGGTGCCTGCCACAGAACCCTGTATGTAGAGTTGTTGATAACCTCCACAGACAGCTCGTGCCTGCTCAGAGTACACACCTGCAGTGCTGGGGGTCCTCCTGGTTTTGACTGAGGGATGCTCTTGAAGCTGCAGAAGCAAGCTCTTTATCCAGCAATGCCTCAGGGGGACCAGAGCTACTGACATCCTCAACTTCTTTGTGCTCAGGAAGCTGAGGTTCTCCTCCTGGGTTTTCAGGGTCTAAGGCTGGTAGCTCCCTCTTCTCAGGGTCTAGAGTCAGTGGGCCATCTGGGGCTACTTCCCCAACATGTTTTCCTCCCAATTTGTTGTTGGACTGCACTGCTCTCTGGTCATCAGCAAGTAGTTCTTCACACTCAGAGTCCATAGTTATAGGTCCTGGAGGTTTAGGTGGGATTGAAGTTGGGGGGCCCAGGACTCTGGGCCATGAGATGCCAGCTGGCTCAGATGGGAGGGAACTGTCTTTCGTTTCTGAGGGTATCTCTCCTTCTGAAGAGTCCTCTTTCCTTGTCTGTGTACCATTCTGTGGCATGGGGAGGGCCTGTGGAGGCAGTGGGGTGGTCTCCCCTACTACTACTTGTTCTGATAGCACCTTGGGAGCCTCCTTCATCTCCCCACTCAGGGGTGCTGGCGACAGCCCGGCAGAACCTGGCTGCTCCAGGGAAGACCTCAACGGCTTCTCTTCTGCACTGTCACTGCTGCGCTCTCCTTGCTCCTCCTCCTGCTGGTCCAACAGCTGCAGAGTCACCACCTGTTCAGAAGCCAAGGAGGAGGTGAGCACTGAAAGGGCAGTGAGCACTAATAGGTCCTATCCACCTAATTCAAATGTCAGAACAGACTGCCACGTCCATCCAGGCGTATGTCATTTCAGGGATGCCCATCACTGAGTATGAGTGCTTAGACGGTAATTTAATAAAATGCCCATTCCAATGAGCCAACTGACTGTACCTTAATTGTATGCATGATGGTCCTAAGGATGGTTCTGCCATCATAAGAGTCCTCCAGCTCAAACTCTCCCCTCAGTGACTGGAACACCTGGTTCATGATCTTCTTGACCTATGCCAAGATCAAAAAGACATGCTACCAAAATCAAGACATTAAGTGATACATTAAAATTACAGAGTTGGAACTCTACAGAGGGACACAGGTGGTCACAAATGTCTGGTGACACTAAGAGCTGCCACCGTGGAGAGAACAGTTCTAAAGATCATTTGCTCATATCATGTAACGCCCACTGTGAGGACCACAGCCAGCTGTGTGGCCTTGACCCCAGGGACAGCACCACGTCCAGCTCTTCCCTATGATGGAGGGTACTTTCCATCTGTCAAAGTTGCAGAGGAATAAAGTCTCTTTGGGTTTGCTAGCAGAGTGGTAGATTCTACAGAGTTAGTGTTTACATCAGACAAGTGATGTTTCAATAACGTCGGGAAAAAGTCAGCATCACATATGGGCCCTATTTTCTGAATACTTGGTAAGCACATTCACTGCCTTGATATGACAGGTTTTGCTGCTTCTTTGAATGTCAGCTCACCTTCTCTGAGGGGTCAGTAGCAGCTCTGACCATAGGTGCCTGAGACGTATTCTTCTTCAGTTGCTCCTTCTCTGCAGTGAAGGCTGCAACCTGTGCCTGGAGAGCTGAGCACTGCAAAATGAACAGACCAGCTGTGGCCTTGGGAACCTGGATGAAGCATTCTGGGAACAAGTCCTGACTTCAGCTAGGTCTACTGGGCCCAGCCTTGGTCCTCACCCCAGACCAGCTGATGCAGGTCCCTCTACTTCGTCAACAACTCACAGCTTCCTTCCCATCAAGGATACTTGACTTGTTCCCAATGAGGGGAAGAATATAATGAAAACAAGGGGATATGAATAAGAGTAGCCACATAGATACAAATACTCAGCAACCTATTCACCTCCAAGACTGCCTCCAAAGCCTCTGAGTCAAAAGGTTTTAACTGCATAATGCAAGGAATTGCCCTTCGGACAAGGGACTTTCATAACACGTCCCTAAGTCACTTTCCAACTCTCTTTTTCACATATAAGCATACCACCATATCCCACACTCCACCCTTACCACAGTTACCACTTCATCTAGGCCTCCCCAGACCACTTATCTCAGTTTCTTTCCTGTGGTTATCTGATTCTTCTTTGCCTGCCCTTTCTCTAACACAGCTACTGGAGCCAAACTAATGCTCAGTAAGTATCTGCTTAATAAATGAAGGGTGGAATAATGGGGACCACGTCCTGGAACACTGGCTGTTTGTCTTTTCCAGGTCCCTGACCTGCTACCCTATGTAAGCATGCAAGCGATAACTAACTGCAACTTACACAAGCCTGGCTGTGTTTTCTGGCTGCTAATACAGCCTGGTGGCCTGGTGTGAGCCGACCCAGGGAAAGAACTACCTCATCTTGAAGGTGGGACAGCTTCTGCTGGTGGGCATCCCTCTGTGCGCAAACCTCCTGGTACTGCTGCAGATGCTCATCCTTTGCAGAGGCCAAGAGATGCTCACACTTTGCTTCCCACTGGCTCTGCAGCTCAGCTTGTGTGAGAGACAGCTGCCAAGAGAAACAGTAGCCATGTGTAGGGGGGCAGATGTTGGGCATGGAGTCCACATTACAAAAAAAAAAAAAAAAAACAAAAAAAAACAAAAAAAAAACCCTAATTCTGCATAGAATTTAAAGACCCTAGTCCATGCAGGCAGGAAACAACTGTTGAAAAGATCTTAATTACTTTGAAAGTATCCTCTTATTCCTTCTTGCTCTATGAGTGGTGTATGACATATGTGTATGTATGTGCACGCTCATGTCCACAGACACTAGAGGAGGACACCAGGCTCTACCCCCCCTCTGTGTATTCCCTTGAGACGGGGTCCTCCTGTCTCCACAGACACTAGAGGAGGACACCAGGCTCTACCTCCTCTGTGTATTCCCTTGAGACGGGGTCCTCCTGTCCCCACTCTGCATCGCAGTGTACCCAACTATTTACTTGGGTACGGGAGATTCAAACTCAGGTTCTCATGCTTGCATGGTGTCAAGTCCAAAGCAGCCCCCCAAATGGCAGTGCTGGTGTTAAAGTCCTAAACAGGGCTCTGGTTGGGTAAACAGAAACTCCCTTTAGGCTTTCTTTTTAGGGTTTACTGTTTACTAGGAACCTCCCTTAATCCACCACCAAAAGAAGGCTACCCCAAAGGTCATCTAGTCCCCATCAATCCAAAGAGTCTGTATAAGCTCAAAGACCCCCACCCTGCTCAATGTCATATAAAATTTGTTTGCTTTTCCACCATTTTGCTTCTCCCCTCTCCACCTCCCAGAGATGGCCTTGGGGATTTGAGCCATGGAGTGGTGCAGTTCAGTAGCTTCAGGAGACCCTCAGGTGGGCACAGCCTGCACTCCTGCTCTCCTGCTGCCCCATCACCCCAGTCCAAAGCAAGTACAACACGAGGGGAGAGGGGAGAGGGGAGAGGGGAGAGGGGAGAGGGGAGGGGGGAGAGGGGAGGGCTGGCACCGGTTGTCAGGCTTTCCAGTAGCCTCCCAGGTGTGGATAAACTGTAAGAAACATCTTCCTAGGGGAAAGTAGAAACTCCATACTCTCTCGTGTCCTTCACAGCTTCCTTGTATTTCCAAGTGCCCATTACCTGCTCTGCAGCTGCTTGGTCTGTGGACACTCGAGACTTCTTCAAGAGCTGCCGAAGTCTGTCCAGTTCCTCCTGGTGTGACTTGCGAATCTCGTCCATCTCCTCCTCTGCCTGGCAGCGCTCTTGAGCTGATTTCTTTTTCCTCTCTGAGAGGCTCTGAGGGACAAAAGAACCATCCTCAACACCTAGCTTAACAGTGTGGACAGGGTGGTGGTCAGTGACCTCAGTTGGTCATTTCTAGGAATGGTTTTATTGTGGGATATTTGTACAGTGTACTGCTGTGATTGGTATAATAAAAAGATGATGACCAAAAACTAGGCAGGAGTATATGTGAGACTTCCCAGCAGAGAGAACTCTAGGAAGAAGAAAGGTAAGGCCGCCAGTCAGACGCAGAAGAAATGGGATGGCCACTACAGAGATGAGGTAATGAGCCTCATGGAAGAATGTAGATTAAAGTTTAAGTTGTAAGAACTAGTTAGGAACAAGCCTACGCTAAGGCTGGCCTTCTGTAATTAATAAGAAGTCTTGGTTTCATTATTTGCAGGCTGGCGGTCCTGATGAGAAAGTACAAATGGTACCCAACATGGGGCAAGTAAATCCACATATGGCCTGAAAAAGCTGAAGGGAAAAAAAAGTTCCAAGTAGGCTCAGTGCTTGCGGTATACAGAGGCCTTGCTGTGCAGCTGAGCACTTGAATGGTTGACACTGGGTACAAATGCCTGGTGTAGGTAGATGCTGGGGCAGGTAAATGTGGCTCTGGGCTGGTACCCACAAACTCGAGGCTAGGCTCTCTCAGAACCAAGGGAGGTGGAGCCAGCCACCATCTCCACTCTGCAGCAGTTGCCTAGCAGTTTAAGGTTTGGCTCACATGGTCAGAGATGCGGCAAATGCACACAAAGTCAGGTCCACACACACAAGCCTCTAAAAAGGTACAGTAGGCCTATACTGAAGACAAAGAAGAAAATGGGTAGAGATAGTCATAGAAAAAAATTTAAAAATAAGTCTTTAAAGAAAGAGTAAATTATTATAAAAAAATAAGCCACAAAAGGATGAAAAATATAACATAGCGAATTTGGACCTTATATGGTGTTTTATTAATTTTAAATTTTTGAGTGCTAATGAAAAGAGAACAATATCTGCTAGGAGACATTGGACTATGGAAGGGACTGTTGAATTAAAACAGCCTATATGTTTTATGGATATCTTAGTTTCAAAATGGAAGTTGGGAAATGTGTTGCACTTGGGGGAAGAGCTTATGCTTTTGTTTCCAAAGGAAAAGCTATGGATTCCGTCCAAATTAACAAAAATCAGATTTGGTGGGGGAAACCTCCTGAAAATATTGACTACAGACATGAAGAAAATACCTATGAAAAATTACAAGGCAAATGATGTATATGCTGATCGGTCTATATGGAAACAACTCTCTGACTGGACGAGACCGGATAAACCTTGCTGGCTACAGAGGCTCAAGACTTATGAAATGCCATCCTTTCATGTGACTTAAAAGCTTGTTAAACAGTCCAAACAGAATTATATAGTTAACAGATACCTTTTACCTCCTCAAACATAGAACAAAAAACATATTTACTGACTTGTATACACTGCACATTCCATACTTGTGTTAATGTAGATATGTTATTTTTGAAAGTTTGTGTGTTTTTAGAAAAAAAGGACCAAAAACCAATAAAGACAAATAGCCCAGGTGATCCATTCTCTCAGTTTCCCTCAAAATGCTGCATCTAGAACAATTTCAAAGTTGCTAGTTGAGATGGTCCAGTCTCATGCACTGGCCACTTGGCTCCAAGAGAAACTTGGCTGTTGGAACTTACCTTTTCCAGGGACTCCTTCTCAGCTCGGAGGTCAGTCAATTCTTCCTCCAGGGATGTCACCTTGAGCTCCAGCTGTCTCCGGCTCTGCTTCTCACTTTTGAATTTGGACTGTGTTTGCTCAGAGGCTTCTCGGAGCTCTAGGACAGAGAACAAGGAGACATGGCTGTAGAACTAGAGATACAAGGGCCGTGGTGTCCCAGAAGCTCTTTGGAAGTTGCCTGCTCTAGTCTCAATCCTACCATACAAGTCTGCCTGACCTGCAGTAAGGATTAAACAAGCCCTACACTGACTCTGCTATCAACCTATGTTTACCCTGAAAAGGACAACTTCTGTATGTATACACCTCCTTGCACACACGCACAGTGTTAGAGAATGTTCTCACTTATATAGTTCCATATGGAGTGTCTTTCTTGAGTAGAGCTCAGGGCCCTTCTCACTGCCTGGAGAAGACTATCAACTTTCTTGGTAACTAAGACATTTGACTGAGAATTTGCTTTCAAAATATCCCTTATCAAATAAGGTTGGGGGTTGGAGTTATCTTTTAACTTAGCATATTAAAACTTGTTTGAAAACTGGCTCTTGAAGTAACTGTCAAAAAGAACTGTCAGAGGAAAACACAAAAGCCCAAGTGAGACAGCTGCACAACATTCACATCAGAAATTGTCCAGTATGTTTGTTTGGGGGCCAACTACCGCCCTGTAAGAGAAAGGATGCATCTTCAAGGAATCGCTTCGCAATGCTGTCAGTAATTCCAAGCTTTCTCTTAGACAGGGAGCTGTGCCTCCATCCACTCGACTGCTGCTGCCTCTATCCCTGCCCACTGGTCCCAGCTGCCTTTCCACACAGGTTTCTCTATGCTGACATTCACAAGCTTCTAGCTAACCAGCATGCCTTACTTGTGTCAAGCACTAAAGTAATCCTCATATGGAAGAAAAGATTTTACAAAGAATAAATCACTATCCTTGCCCTCCAGGAACTTGTATTCTAGAGGGAAGAGGAGACTTATAAATGATGTTTATGGAAGGCTATTTTAATGGTCAGAATAATGCACTCTTAAGAGATAAAGGGCTTTAAACAAGAGATCAAATGGTCTAAAAAAGCTGTGCAAGAGGCAGACTTTAGAAGTGGACTGGGGCACTGCTGATGGTGAGCACACCAAGTGCCGGCTGCACCAATCCAAACACAGCTGTTCTAAGAGGAGCGTGATGAGAGGTGAAACACTGGGATAGAGCAGGAAATGAGCAGAGGACAGTGGCCAGGAGTCCAAGCTGGAGCACTGGAAACCACAGTGGGAGGAGCTGCTTCTTTTTAGAGATCTACCATGGTAGTAGGTAACAAAGACCTGAAGCAACATTTCCCAACAGAAACAGTGTGACTTGTCAACTACAGCTGAACTGCATGTCTTCCTGTTCTCTGTGTAAAACTATTAGCAGTTTTTCTACCAGTCCCTCAAGACTGTCGTGCTGAAGGAATTGACAGGAAGGGAGACACTGAACTCCTTGAGTTTAAATGGCAGTCCTGCCAGACATTCTCCTCTGAGAACTTACCTGAGAGGTCGGCCTGGAGCCTGGTGACCTGGCCCCTGAGAAGATCTGTCTTTCTCAAGTTCTCTGTCAGCTGCACCTGCAGCTCTGTCTCCTTCTTCTGGTGAGCGGTCACTTTCAGCTGCAGGTGAGAGACCTGTGCAGTGGCTGCTGCTAACTCCTCTGTCACCCTGACCTGAACAGCGACAAGAGTGACATCACCTTCGACATAGGCATTCCAAGTACTGATTCAACCTCCTGGGACTCTAAGCTGATGGACGGTATTGGTAGACAGGAAGGGAGAAAAGGTCACCTTCCCTGCACGGGGCTAAAACCAAGCCTTGAAAATGTCCACTGTTGAGGTAGAGAGCTGCAGAAAGAAGGAAGCACTGACAGGAAAAGCAGGACTCCGATATGAGAGGACACTGCTGGAGATGTGCCCCTGAGCAAGTCCTGGCCACCTCCTGGGCCCTGACTTGTTCTTTTAAAAATAAGTCCATTGTGCTCAATCCCCCAGCAGCTCTTCCACTTTGAGTAATCACTTCATAACAGCAGATTCTTATGTACCCATTCCGTTACAGAGAAGAAGTTTCACTTACCGAATATTCATTGCACACTTAACCATACTTTTTCTGAGAAGTGCTTGGAGACAGAAATCTGCCTCCTGAAGGAACTGCTGGTTTCCCTTTACAAGAGATCACAGGGAGACTGCTAAATAGATGGAGGCTGGTGTACACCTTAAATCCCGGCACTCAGCGGCAGGTGCATCTCTGTGAGTTCAAGGTTAGCCTGGTCTACATATCTAGCTTCAGACCAGCCAGTACTACATAGTGACTCCGTGTCTCAAATAGCAACTTTAAAAAAAGTAGCTCATCCAGGGACAGCGGCACACACCTGTAATTCCAACACCTGGAAAGCTGAGCAGGAGGCTAAGAGTCTGCAGCAGCTATGTATGCAAAACGCTGTGTGAGTAAACCCGGGCTACATAGCGAGAACTTACATGAACCGTAGGGCCATATTATACAGGCCCATGTTTTTACACTGTATGGTGGCCAGACTTTTAGGCCACAGTCTGCACCTGCCACACAGAAGGTGGTCACCTAGCCTTTCCAGACAATCTGACGCCATCCTAAACAAAGGGTCAGGATATGCTAATGTCGCTCTGCCCCTTCTTTGTAATTTTGGGAGGTCGCCTGGGAAGGTGTTAATTCAGACTACATGACAGCAGGAAGATAGATAGGAAGATGTGACAAAATGGGCATAGAAAGGTGTGGACATGACCACAGTCATTCTCCTGGCTACCTAGGAAGCAGAATGCTAATGAATTTCCCCCTCAGTTTACGTTTTGGTGTAAAAGCTGTTTGGAGAATAAACGGGGGGGGGGGTGAATTTTCAGGATGTGAACTTGGGATTTCACGAGGGATCCCTGAAGATTCCCTCCCGATAAAGCCATGTGAGTTGTGTCTTTATTCCCACGCCTCCCCTCTGGTCCGAGAAATAATTTATGGTCCGGGCTGGCCCCAGACCCCAACAGTGAACAAAGAATAAGAAAAAAACAACTACCAAGGGACAGTTAAAACTTAAAATGTCTCACTGAAATAATGGGGATCAGTGGAATCCATGGGCAGGTTCCCTGGAGCAAATCTCGACTCCAGAGGGCACTGGGCAGGCTGCATTAGTCTATCACCACAGGACACCAATGGACTAGCAAGCTAAGGAAGGGTTTGACAAACTACAACTGATTCATGGGACAAGTAGAACCACTGCTTGTTTTGCGGAATAAAGTTTCATTAGAATATACTTGTGAGTACATGCACATACAACAGTGACATTGGACATGAAAGTCACATGTTGAACCTAAGTAAAAGCAAAAGTATCCAGATGTCACATCCAGAGACTCGACAAAGAAATGACTTTTATACCTGGGTAGGTACTGAAATAGAGAAGAGCTTTGGAAAAGTTTTATCTTGGTTACATATATTAAATTAGAAACCCAGAGGAGATTAATTCTGATCAAGTTTCCCAAGCAATCTGAAGTAGTTAAGCCACTGTTTGGGCATCACTGGTCTACAGAATAAGTTATAGTCATTATTTACGCCTGAATAGTAAAAATGAGGGTAAACAGTAGATTTGGATGCCCCAGTAGGCCTTGGGTCAGAGAGATAAAGAAAAAGGAGAGGGAAAGTAAAATCAGAGAAAGGAGACATAGTAAGGCACATTTTGTGGAGAACAGTGAAGTTCCAGGCTGCTGCTCTTGACCAGGTCATTGATAGACAGCCACAACAGACAAGGAACGACACAGTGTTGGAATAGGACAGGACTGTGCAGGGTAAGGCACAGCTCATTGGTGGCTAAAGGCTATCTTAGTTACTGTTCTACTGCTAAGATACTATGACCAAAGCAACTTAGAGAAAAAAGCATTTAATTGAGGGATTGCTTATAGTTTAGACTGTTGATCTATGATCATGGTGGTAGGGAACATGAAAGCAGGCACCGTACTGGAGCAGTGGCTCAGAGCTCACATCTGATGCACAGAGAGCAAGACTAGGCCTGCTGTGGGCTTCAAGCCTACCCCCAGTCACACAACTCCAACAAGGTCACACCCCAGCCCTTCCTAAACAGTCCACCAACTGGGAAACAAACATTCAAATATATGACTCTATAGGGGCCCTTCAAACCACCACACTGGCCAAAAACATTACTTCCTGGATAGTACAGCTAAGCAAACACAAAAGTTAGCTGGAAACATATATAAGGAACCTTATCATCAGAGTACAAGAAGTCAAGTAAAAATTACAAGTGATAAAATTCACGTTGTTCAATTTTGTATGTTTCCAAGGAAAAGTCTATTATAAAGTATGAACTGCTTAGAATTTCATGAAAAAAAATCACAAGATAAAGAACAAAGATTTCCCAGCTAAAGAGCGATGACCCAATAAGAAGGAATCTGGTCTGGATGGCGTCCACTAGGTAAAGGAAAACTAGGCTCCAGAACTAGGTACCCCAACCAGATTCACTAGCTCTTTCTCACTTCTACTCAGAGCAGATCAAAATTCCTACATCTGAAGGACTTAAGTAACAGAATTCATGCCTCCTCCCTCTTTCCTTATTCTATTTACTTATCTATTCATTCATTCATTCATTCATTCATTTGCTGTGGCAGGGTCTCATGTAGCTCCAACTTTGGCTTCAAACTTTCTGCTTAGCAGAGAACGACCTTGAACTCCTGATTGCTGTGTAGACCAAGCTGGCCTCAAATTCACAGTGGTTTAAGTTTGTCCCCACCTCCCAATTAATAGGATTGGAATTTTATTCTTTATGGCAAGGTCTCACTATGTAGCCTAGGCTGGCCTGGTACTTGTTATGCACCTCAGGGTGGACTTGCACTTACAGTAATCCTTTTGTCATGGGATTCCACACATAGACCACCTGTCTGGCTCCAAAGTAGCACTTTAAAATGATTTTGTCAGACTCAAATGAATAATCAACTAAATACAGATAAAAGATCAAATTATACATTCCTAAATTCCACTAAGAACAACATATAAATTTATTACATGACATAGTAGAACTTTTCTTTTGATTCTATCAGAAGAATAAATTTAGCTTCTTATGAACTATAATTTTCTCACCACTATCAAAGTATAATGTCAAACAAACAAGTGACTGAATTTTTTTTTCTTTCTTTTTTGAGAGAGGATCTCACTATGTAGCTCAGGTTGACAATGAACTGCAGATTCTCTTGCCTTTGCCTATCAGAAGTTGGGATTACAGGCATAAATCACCCCTAGTTCAATCATTGGTTTTGAGTCAACTTACTGCAGAACATTTAGTAAGACATATCTAGAGGTGATTAATACATAAAAATCTGTTGGAGGATTTCTAGATCTCTCTCAAAGATGGCAAATATCCAGAATAGAAACTTGGAAGTTCATATATAGGACTATTCTTCAGCTCAACATATCCTGACCTGAGCCTTCCTCTGCCCAACTATTTTACCTTCTCTTGTTCGGCATGCAATACTCTTGCCTGTGTGTTTTCTGTGGCTGTTTGAAGTGAGTTGCTCCTCTTCTCCAGCATCAGGTTACTCTGTTCAACATACCTGAGACAGAAATAAAGATGAAGAAAATATTTACTAAGCACCGAATGTTTGAAAGGCACAAGTGAATCTATTCGGTTCTCACAATATGTTCTACACCTTCATCAGAAACAATCTGAAGGAAGTCAGAGAGCTGGCTCATAAGTTAGGAGTTGATGTGGAATGTCCTGCATATGTGTTGCTTTTATTAGCTAATGAATAAAGTTGTTTCAGCTAATGAAGTAGCAGAATAAAGCCAGGTAGGAAATCCAAGCAGAGATACAGAAAAAAGAAGATAAAGTCAGGTCAGATGCTAGCCAGACACTGAAAAAACAAGGCATGCAGAAAATGAAGTAATGCCACAGTCACGTGGCAATACATAGACTAATAGAAATGGGTTAATTTAAGATGTAAGAGCTAGCTAGAAATATGCCTGAGCCATTGGCCAAGTCTGGGTGACCAGGAAATGAAAGCAGAGTCTCTGTTTACAAGGATCCTTTGGTGTTCTTGCAGAGGTTCTGGGTTCAGTTCCCAGCACCCACATGGTGGCTCACAACCATCTGTAACTCTAGTTCCAAGGGATCCAACTCTATCTTCTCTCTCAGGGCATTCCAAATAAACAATGCACAGATATGCAAGCACTGCACACACACACACACACACACACGATGAACAGATATGCAAGCACTATACACACATGCACAATGAACAGATATGCAAGCACTACACACACAACACACACACACACAATGAACAGATATGCAAGCACTATACACACACACACACACGATGAACAGATATGCAAGCACTATACACACTCACACACACGATGAACAGATATGCAAGCACTATACACACACACACAATGAACAAATATGCAAGCACTATACACACACACACACGATGAACAGATATGCAAGCACTGCACACACACACACACACACACACACTGAACAGATATGCAAGCACTGCACATACACACACACAATGAACAGATATGCAAGCACTGCACACACACACACGATGAACAGATATGCAAGCACTATACACACACACACACACAATGAACAGATATGCAAGCACTATACACACACACACACACAATGAACAGATATGCAAGCACTATACACACACAAACACACACGATGAACAGATATGCAAGCACTATACACACACACACACAATGAACAGATATGCAAGCACTGCACACACACACACAATGAACAGATATGCAAGCACTGCACATACACACACACAATGAACAGATATGCAAGCACTGCAAACACACACACACACACGATGAACAGATATGCAAGCACTACACACACACACACGATGAACAGATATGCAAGCACTGCACACACACACACACACAATGCACAGACATGCAAGCACTGCACACACACACACAAAATGAACAGATATGCAAGCACTGCACATACACACACAATGAACAGATATGCAAGCACTGCACACACACACACACGATGAACAGATATGCAAGCACTACACACACACACACACACACGATGAACAGATATGCAAGCACTATACACACACACACACCCAATGAACAGATATGCAAGCACTACACACACACACACACACACACACACAATGAACAGATATGCAAGCACTGCACACACACACGATGAACAGATATGCAAGCACTGCACACACACACACACGATGAACAGATATGCAAGCACTATACACACATGCACGATGAACAGACATGCAAGCACTACACACACAACACACACACACACGATGAACAGATATGCAAGCACTGCACACACATGCACGATGAACAGATATGCAAGCACTACACACACAACACACACACACACGATGAACAGATATGCAAGCACTATACACACACACACAATGAACAGACATGCAAGTACTGCACACACATGCACGATGAACAGATATGCAAGCACTATACACACATGCACACACACAATGAACAGACATGCAAGCACTGCACAATCATGCACGATGAACAGATATGCAAGCACTACACACACACACACACACACACACACACACGATGAACAGATATGCAAGCACTGCCCACACATGCACGATGAACAGATATGCAAGCACTACACACACAACACACACGATGAACAGATATGCAAGCAAAACATCCATATGTATATTTTTTTAATCTTTTAAAAAACTAATCTGAAAGCAGTTTGCTTTTCTGAGACCTGCAGGAATTAACCAAGGAAGTGGCAACCTGGGCCACAGATGAACATTCTGCATGATGAAGGAAGACAGTCACAGGGTGTGTACTAATGGGAGATGCGGAGGAAAGGAAAGGGAAGAGAATATTGATTGTAAGCCTTCTTCCAAGCCTGCTGTGTAAGAGACAAAAAACACTAGATAAAAAATTCAGGGAATAAATGAGTTTTTCAAGTGGAATGATGCATTGAGACTAGTTTTGTTTACCTTTTCCCCTCACAGAGCTGAGAAGGATTCACTAAAAACAGAGAGGTTGTGCTTTATGAAATCAGTGAGGCTCTGGTTGATAAAATAGACCAAACAGAAGAGAAGAGTGGACATGCTTTTCTAGGTAACACCATTTTCAGAAATGAGGAAGCTAGGCTTGCAGACATAAACAAAATACCCAAAGCCACACAATAAATGAAGGGTGGAGCTGAGGGCCAAACACAGGTGGGTCTCATACCAACCACACCCACCTCAGCGTTTTCTACTGAAGTAGTAAAGAGGCAATTCACACAAGAAATGGCTGAAGACATGGGCAGGTGAACAGGCTGAAGCTCAAAGGTACTTAGTATGTTCAAGGTCCTCGGGTTCAAAAACCCAAACAAAACAAATACAGAGAATCGTGATCAATACAGTGCTCTCAGCAAACATGTATGAAACCCTTCGCCCTCCCACCCTGGCCTCGTCTGTACCTCTGATTCCGCTCAATGAGTTCACTAATCTTGCCGTTCTGCTCTTCTATCCGACTGCTTTTCTCAAGGAGCTCCTGCTTCAGTCTCTCGTTTTCCTGAACTCAAATACACAATAAGCAAGTAAGTGTCCTGAAAGGTCCACTTCCTACCCACCCTCTGCTTCCTGGCTGCAGTGCAGTGTGAGAGCCACCTCGTGTTCTGCTGCCATGCCTCCCCTGCATGACAAACTGCATCCCCAGACCATGAGGCAGAATACATTTGAAACACTAAAACTTACTTCCTCACAAATTTAACTGTTAAAGTAACAAACTGAATTATACCACTAATCACTAGGCTAGACAGATTGAGGATTGAAATGGTCAGAAAATGAAGTAAGAGTTTAAAATTGGGACAAAAAGCAATGTTTGTTTCTTTCTCTTTTTTTTTTTTTTTTGTTTTTGTTTTTTTGAGACAGGGTTCTTTGTGTAGCTTTGGAGCCTGTCCAGGAACTAGCTCTTGTAGACCAGGATGGCCTCAAATTCAGAGATCCACCTGCCTCTGCCTCCCAAATGCTTAGATTAAAGGCATGTGCTAACATAGGTTAGTATAATAGAGTGTAATATACAGTATAATATAGAGATGGCTGTGGTCCAAATATGAAAGGCCACTCAAATGCTCACGTTTGGATATCTGATATCCAGCTCTGGGTGGACTGGAGGTGGGGTTCAGCTAAAGGAAGTGGGTCACTGAGGATAGCACTGCAGGGTTCCTAGTTAGGTCCCACTTCTTGTTGGCTCTCGGCTCAATGGGAATAGTTGCCTCACCCTCTGCTACCACCCCTATCTGCCGTGATAGGCTGTATGCTCTCAAACTAAGAGGCAAAATAAACCCTGCTTCCTTAAGCTGTTTCTTGCCAAGTATTCAGTCACAGCAATAAGAAAATAACTAATACGATAGTACAAGTCATAGGACCGAATTAAGCCATAATGGCTTGTCCAACTGTGGTAGTCAACACATGCTGCTTCTGGGGGCAAAGGCAGCACATCTGCGGAGGGAGCATGGACAAGTTCTCCAGGCTGTGCTGTGCTCCATCACCCTCACCTGAATGATTCGCTGGATGTTGCTCATAATCATGCTTGTTTCCATTGTGACCGACATGTTAGGAAGAAGCATAGGATTGCCAGAGCTATGTCTCTGTAACTCTTCAACCTGCAAAACATGTGAACATGTGGAACTACAGAAATACAATTCACCCAGGACCAATCACTTTTTTGAGAGAGTTAAAAATTTCTGAGACAATATCTAAATGTAAGCCTGCTTTCTCCGCTAACTTGATCCCAAAGTGAACATGAGCCTCTTCTAGGCAACTGACTACAGGCTGTGAGTACGGGAACCGGAGGAGTTTTCCTGCAGCTGTGGCCTCTCCCAGTTACATCCTACTTACTGTCTAATTCTTGTTACACACACCTCCTTTTTTTCACATTTTTGTTATCTTTTTTAAAATTAAAAAATATATATATTTAGATTTATTTATGTGTCTTGAGTGTTTTGTCTACAAGGATGTATGTGCAACATGTGTGTGCCTGGTGCATCAGAGAAGAGAGCATCGGCTCTCCTGGAACTGTGGGTGCTGGGAACTGAACTTTGGTCCTCTGCAAAAGTACTCTTAATCACTGAACTGTCTCTTCAGCCTCTATTTATTATTTCTTTATTATAATTTCATACATGGTGTTCTCTGTGCTTCGTTGTGACCTGGAGTTGCTAGGGTAGAGGACTGAGCTCGGAATTGGCCATGGACGCAGTGACCTATGAGGATGTGCATATGAACTTCACTCAGGAAGATTGGGCTTTGCTGGATCCTTCACAGAAGAGTCTCTACAGAGATGTGATGCTGGAAACCTACTGGAACCTCACTGCTGTAGGCTACAATTGGAAGACCAGAATATTGAAGAACATTGTCAAAGTTCTAGACAACAAGGAAGCTATTTTATCTTCAAAGAAGCAAACATATCTAATATTCAAGAGGATCTTTATGAATGTAAGCAACATGATAAAACATTTGGATCTAATTCCTCTTTAAAAGTACACCAAAGAACTAATTTGGAAGTACAAAACTATGAATATTATCAAAATATTAAAGCCTTCCCATATAAAAATCTCAATCAAGTATGTGTAACTCACAGGAGAGAGAAAACACATGACTATCATCCTTTGGATACAGCCACTGCACATACCAGTTATCTTCTAATACGTGAAAGAATTCATACTGGAGCAAAACCCTATGAATGTAATCATTGTTGTAAAGCCTTTGCCCGTAAGTATGATTGTCAGATACATGAAAGAATTCATACTGGAGAGAAACCTTATGTACGTAATTACTGTAGTAAAGCCTTTATGCAAAAGAGTCATCTTCTTATTCACGAAAGAAGTCATACTGGAGAGAAACCGTATGGATGTAATCACTGTGGTAAAACCTTTGCATATAAAAGTAATCTTAAAATACATGAAAGAAGTCATACTGGAGAGAAACCCTATAAATGTAGTCAATGTGGAAAAGTCTTTGGCTATAAAAATCATCTTCAACAGCCTGGTCTACAGAGCTAGTTCCAGGACAGGCTCCAAAGCCACAGAGAAACCCTGTCTCAAAAAACCAAAAAAAAAAAAAAAAAAAAAATCATCTTCAAATACATGAAAGAATTCATACAGGAAAGAAACCCTATGAATGTAGTCAATGTGGTTAAACCTTTGCCTATAAAAATTATCTTCAAATACAAGAAAGAAGTCACTGGAGAGAAACCCTACGAATGTAATCATCGTGGTAAAACCTTTGCATATAAAAGTAATTTTAAAATACACAAAAGATGTCATGCTGGAGAGAAACCTTACAGATATTGTTAATGTGGTAAATGTTTTAGAATAATTTGAATAATAAAATTTATTTGCAAATGAAAATAATAAAAAATTCATACATATAAACAATGAGTATTATACTTACTCTCCTTTATTAAAATTAGTATTTATTTATTGAAAACACGCTATGTATTACTATGTGTACACGCGATATGTGAGAGTGTGGACATGCACACCTGTGTCACAGCACGTGTCCCAAGTCAGAGTATAATTTGCAGGAGTCAGTTCTCCCTTTCCATGATGAGTTTCAGGGAGAAAACTCAAGTTGTTGGATGTGTTCAGCAAGTGCGTTTACCTGCTGAGCCATCTCTGGCCCAGCTGCTCCATTTTCAGAGCCTCATTTCTGACTTAGTCACCTTAGTCAGGAGATGATCCATTTTATCAGCCACTTTGCTGACTGCCATTCGAATTTCAGTGTTGTGTTGCCGAGCTTCAGTCATGAGAAAGGACGTCATGTCACCTGATCCTAAACAGACATCAAAAGGAAAGAGAAACTAAGGGTGGGAAAGTAAGGGCAGTTTTAGCAGAGGAAAGAAAGGACCCCTTCCATGTCCTAGGACATACAGTATGTGATTTCACACCGTCAGGAATAGAGACAGGACTCACAAGCTAATAATAACTAGGTTATAGTTCTGTAAAAACATATCAAGGGCTAGAATGTGGACTGCTACAATCCTGGCACTTATATTGCTTCCCCTTTCACCAAACTGCATACCAGGCATTGCATGGGCATCAGGAATACAGTCATGAAAAAAAAAAAAAACATGGTTCCAGATCTTAGTGGGCTTCAATTGGGAAACTAACATAAACAAATCATTACAACAGAGTATGTTAAATGCAAAATGGGCATAGTAGCACATGACTAACTCATACAGCACACGGAAGATTTGGAGTTCAAGATCAGCCTGGGCTTCCTGAAATACTATCTCAAAAACAATTTTTTAAGAGGGTGACTTGAAGTGCAAAAATTGGGGCATGTATAAAGTACAAAAGTAGCACCTTAAAAGCAGTAATCTTTTGGTGACATTCGTATGCAGTTGTGTCTGTGGGAGCAGTGGATGGAGAAATGGTGAGCCAGAGGAAATGCCAGGTTGGAGGGATGTAGAAGTGTTTCAAAGATGGGGAAAGAACAGGGCTCCATGGCATGCCGATGTGAGGCTGACCAAATCCACTTAAAAGCCTGAGAGAGCTTGGGAAGTTATTCTAGATAGAAAAGAATAAAGTTAAGCACGGCTTTTTGATAGCAGAACTTTCTTGGATGGGCTCTTCTTGCTAGAGGCAAGCACTCTCATTTAAGAGAAGCTTCCTGACTCAGCTTTAGCTGCAAAACCTTGCAGCTCTTTTAAGATGGCCCAGATGTCTGAATTCTACACCCAGAACAGATTCAAGACTGCTGCCTGAGATGATCAAGCCTTACAGGATACTACAGTCAGGACTTGATCATAATTCTAAATTTTCCTTAGGTCCCCATAAGATCATCAGCAACCCCAATCAGCAAAGTAGTCTGGAAAACTACACCCACTTTCCAAAAATATGGACTATGAATATTTTCCTTTGATTAGAATGTTGGTTACAAGTTGTTATGGATAATGGTCAGGAGAAAAGCTAAAGAAAGGACATTAGATTCAGAGTTCTTGTTTTTAAAAAAGGGGGGGGAGTGCTGTGGGACAACGGTCTTATCCTGCCACTTGTATTATTTTTAATAAAAAGCTGATTGGCCAGTAGCCAGGCAGAAGTAGAGGTGTGGCAACAAGAATTACGGGAAGAGAGAAGTTTCAGTCTGCAGTCATGACCCAGCCACAGAGGAAGCAAGATGTGACTGCCTCACAGAAAAAGGTACCAAGCCACGTGGCTAATAATTATGGGCTAATATAAGTTATAAGAGTTCGGGGCTGGAGAACGGGCTCAGCAGTTAAGAGCACTGACTGCTCTTCCAGAGGTCCTGAGTTCAATTCCCAGCAACCACGTGGTGGCTCTGGTGCCCTCTTCTGGCCTACAGGCAGGATACTGTATAAATAAATTTTTTAAAAAAGTTAATAAGAAGTCTGTGCTAATAGGCCAACCAGTTTATAATTAATGTTGACATCTGTGTGATTCTTTGGGACTTAACAACTGCAGGACTGGGTGGGACAGAAAGCTCTGTCAGCAGCTCCAGATAAAGACTGCATTAGGAAGCCCTTCCCACTGTAAGTCTATTGGATATATTTGTTTCCTCTTGCCACTATCTGATGCCAAAGTGATTACTAAGCAAAAGACAAGCTGCACACCCTGACAGGGAACCAACACCTCAGTCAACATTTTTACCTGCTTTGTTTACAAAACACGCCTATGCTTGCACAAGTGCATAAAATACACACAAAGTGCCCAGGATGCTCTTCTATGACAGAGAGGACAGTTACCTTTACTTTATCCCATTTTGTATTGCTTGACATTTTTATTAAAGTGAATTGCTTTCATAATTTAGAGTTTTTAACAAAATAATTTTAACCTGGGGCGTTCAACACCCACAGCAATGCTCGTGTTTCCTCTCAGTCCCTCCAGGATTCGCTCCTTCACTCTCTGCTATGTGCTCTAGGCACCCCGACAGAGGACAAAGGGCTGGCAGGAGAGCACTGAGGGAAGAAGACCCAGAAAGTGTGCACCAGGGGACTTTGGGGAAGATACAAATGTTCTAAAAATTGGATTGTTGTGATAGACACACAACCCTGAACTTTTCCAAATAAATAAATAAAGGTGTTTGTTCCACAAGCTCAAGGAACTGAATTTGAATCCCCAGCACCCCCAGCTCAACAAAAAAGTTGAGCATGGTTGTGTATACCTGTAACCCCAGCACTAGGGGGTGGACAGAGGTAGATCCTAAAAGTTCCCAAAGTCTACCCAGAATGGCAGATTTCCAGTTCTCTAACAGACCTAGTCTCAAAATAATAAGCTGCAGACCAATAGAGGAAGACATTAAATGTCCTCCTCTGCTCTGGACATAGATGTACACAGTGTGCATACCTGCACACTTATATGCTTGCACGCATATATACATACACAGCTTACACTATGTATTTAAATGAATTATGGTATATAAATTACAACCCAATCAAGCTGTTAAAACATTGAAAAGAAAGAAAGGGTAGAGAGCTGTTGGGGAAAAGTGGAAACACAATGGGAGGGAGGACAGACTGGGAGGAGGAAGGTATTCCCTACCTTGAAAGTGGGGAGCCTGGGGCAGTGGCACTGGGTACAAGGGCCGAACAGGCTGCAGCTGCGAGGTGACTGAGCATGCCTGGGGATATGTGTAGGCCTGCACACCTGCACAGGGCTGAGAAAATGACCAGTTACTTGTTTACTTTCCTATGATAGAACAAAACAGATAAACAGGGAGGAGGATGATAAGACCAGGGTGAGTCAGTTGTCTATGGGACTTGATCACTGGTCACTCCAGTCCTACCCAGAACCTGAGGAACAGGAATCTTGGATCACCACCCAGTCCTCCGGCAATGTGATTTAATGACACGGGAATTTATTCCCTTTAATCAGGCCTATTTTAAGGAAAACTTGAAACTAAGCAAACCCTGTTTGGTTTCTTTTAAAGAAAAAAAAAAATCTTTTCAAGATTCAAAACTAAGCCAGACAGTTTCCTGGAAGCCTCAGGAGGCCTCTCCCCTGATAGAGTAAATTTTTTTTTTATTTTAAAAGCTTTTTTTTTCTTTCTTATTGGTCCTGTAAGGTTCCTTTATTTTTTTTTTAATTTATTTATTTATTAAAGATTTCTGTCTCTTCCCCACCACCGCCTCCCATTTCTCTCCCCCTCCCCCAATTAATTCACCCCCCCTCCTCAGCCCGAAAAGCAATCAGGGTTCCCTGTCCTGTGGGAAGTCCAAGGAACCCCCACCTCCATCCAGGTCTAGTAAGTTGAGCATCCAAACTGCCTAGGCTCCCACTAAGCCAGCGCGTGCAGCTTTTTAAAATCATTGTATGCGTGTGTGTCTATGCACAGATGTCATCCATTGCCCAGCCCCTAGGCTCTGTTTTGTGTGTGTTTTCAGACAAGGTTGCATTCTTAATGTTCCTGCTTTCAGCTCCGTAGTGAGACCACGTCCAATACTCTTGCTAGATCCTTAGTGTGAGACGACAGACGTTTACCACCACGTCCAATACGCTTGCTAGATCCTGATGCTTATCTGGGTGACCAGGGGCTCTCATTTTCTGGAATATCTCAACTGTGAAAGGAAGATGTTTCTGTTTTATGGGGATTTGCTGCATGGACTAAATGAGGTGATACAGGCAAAGCTCTAACAACTGCGAATTAAGTGACTGGCAAAAGGTAAAAGCTCAATAAACAGTCGCTATTGTTCTTTCCCCCATAGGAATCTAGCTTATTTCTAAAGACAACATAACAACCCAAACATTGTTCAATTAAAACAAAAATTCTCAGTCTGTGACAGAGGGATTTTCCATTGTGGGAGACTTTTTTCATCTTTGATCCTCTGTTCAGAATCGACATGGAGGGTGGGGGCTGACAGAGAGCGATTGCTGGGTATTGTGCACCTTTACTATGCGCCAGGCCAGGCTCTAACACCTACTCTGCATATTCTTGCACTTAATCTTTCACTGAAACTTGTAAACAGAAAACATTTTGTGGTTTTAGGGATAAGAAAGTAGTAATTTAGGGAAAGGGAAATTACAAACACTTCACACTCCTAAGTCTGGACTAGCACTTGACAGTCTCAGGCTTTAATTACAAACACTGACTTGGAGAACTGCTGCCATGTGAAAAGGAGGGAAGGGATCTTCTATGTTCACACAAGAAGACCAACAGAAATTAATCTCATGACTAAAGTCGTTTTAAAATAATATTGTTGCCCAAGGGCTGGATGTAGACCGATAATTTCAGCTCTCAGGAGGCAGGAAGCAAGCAGATCTCTGAGAGTTTGAGGTCAACCAAGACTACCTGAGACCCTGTTTCAAAATAACAAATAAAGAAATTTATAAACTAAAAGAAATAGTTACCTGAAAGTTCTGAGCATTTCCAGCTGCAGCTGAGTGTGAATCAAGGGGTGTAACTTGCATCAAGGCAGCAGAGGGTGTTTGGAACCCAGAAACAGATGGTTGAGGTGCTAGGATAAATCAAGATATTTTTACTGTTATCCATCCTTGCTTCTTGTGTTAATGCAAAAACACAACTTTATCTCAAAGAAGATAGGAGGTAATTTATTTTGGAGCCAAATGTGTATGGCCATGGCCAGGGAACACTGCTTTGGGTGACCCAAATTCCATGTTCCTATACAGTCAACAGTTTCATGAAATTTTCACAAATCTAGACAATTTTAAAATATAGTGATGGAAACATCAGGTAGGTATGTTCCACAAAGGGAAGAGATCTCATTTTCAGGCCTCAGATGCTATCTGACCACATTGTTAGCTTTTGGTTGATGGAGTCTAGAGGCTAGTACTCTGTATATTCCAAGGATTTACCTAGTAGTGACAGAAGGAAGGACAATAAATAGCTATTCAGCACATGCTAGGGGTAGCATGGGAGAGCTGTCCCTATTTCTGGTGGACCAGCCCTGCAGCTCTCCAAGGATAAGATCCGGCCGGCCCCATCGTCCACTCCATCTATGATCTGGAGCATGTGAAGGCCCTGACCTGCAGACCCAAAGCGGCAGGAGCTCCACAACACAGGGCAACAACAGGATCTCCAGGAGGAGCCCAAGCGAGGGCCCAGCAACAACAGAGTAGTAGAAACCAGAGACCTCACACCAGACCAGTGACTCCTGGCAATGAACACTTGCAAGTAAAGATACATGGACAGAGAGGTTCACAGTGTGACTTGCGGAGTCACACTGTAGGTTCATGATGGCGGACTGAAGGGATGGGGAAATGAATGGGTTAAGATACATGATGTAAAAGACATATAGAATAAATACATAATTTTCTTTAAAAATGGTTATTAAGCCCAAGATAAATTACAACTGGTCTCTGGACCTGCTGGAAACCTCCTTTGCCACAGCCACTGGCCTCTCATAAGTTAGTCAGCTTTGTAGAAGGGCCAGTGCCAGGTGGGGCTCTTTCCAGGAACTTTCCTTCACACTCCTAAGTTTGGGCTAGTACTTGACATTCCCGTGCTTTAAACCAGACCACTTTCCCCGCTTCATCCCCCAAAGCAGCGTCACAGGCACGCCAACAACTGATGAAAACAGTGTCCCTTGTGCATCTGACTCAGGTCCATCTGCTGACACAAGTGCACAATGACAGAAGGAGCTGTCTCAACAGCTGAGCACAGACTTCCAAAGGGGACAATGCAACACAGCAAAAATCACAACAAACAGGCTGAATCCACTTGACTCTGAAAGTGTTCTACCAGGACAAACTGATAAGTCCCTAACCCCGACCCAGCACTGACAATGCAAGCTAATAATCTAAGGAACACTGACGAAAACTTGGATCCAATTCAAGGGCCAAGCCTTAGAGGTTCCTTTCTTACCCTGTGAGGCCATCTGTGGTAACACCGGATGGGCTGGCTGAAGAGAAGGCTGGACAGATGGTGTCACCAGGGACTGCCCAGCTCCTCGTAAAACAGTCGCATCCTGAAAGAGGCACAAGGGTTGGTCTCTGTCTAGGCCGTTAGCTGAAGACTGAGGCTGCAATACAGAATTTTCAGGCAAGAAAGAGGAAGGAAAGGCATGCAGAAAGCCAACAGTCAAGGACATGAGTTGTATGAAGCAAGCATTCAATTATACAAGAGAATAAGAGCCCTTCTTCCTATAAGTCATATCAAATAAATACAGTTCATTTCTGCGGATTTTCTAAGCTAACGTTTCATCATTCCAAGCACCTTAGTCGACAGATCTACAGAACACACCTGACTAATCTAACTGGCTCCCACAGTAAGGGCCTCCTACAAGGAAAGCCAACAATAATGAAGCCTCGCCTCTTCTGCAGTCAAGGCCACTGGACAGAGTGGGACTCACCGCACCTCATTACCATGCCGGCTTTGATGCTGGCAGTCTAGAATTTGCCCGAATTCTTTTGTTGTTGCATTGTTTTTGTTTTTGAGAAAGTTTTTTTGAGTCTTTCTATGCAGCCGTGGCTGTCCTGAAACTTGCTAAATGGACCAGACTGGCCTCCTGCTCTGCCTCCTAAGTGCTGAGATTAAAGTGCGCGTCAACCACACCCAGCTGTTTGCTCTCAGTCTTAAAATATTTTTTAAAAAATCATAAAACCAAAGCTGTAACTCTAAGCAAAGCTGCTCCATCTTCTTGCTTCATGCAAGGCCAGAAAGTCCTGACAGAAATACTCTGCTCTGCTGTGGTTCAAGACTGTCCCTCTTTGATTCTTATCCTTTAAAGCGATATACTTTATGTGTATTACTGATATTAACATAGATATTTATGATATAACATTAAGTTTAAAAGTTTATAAAGCAATATTTGAAGAAAATGACCCTTTGTTAAACAAATTCTTTATACTTTTTAATTATATAATAAAGTAACCTAGTTTTAATTACTTATATTTAAATTTTAATTAATTACATATTTAAAAAGTAGTTTTTAGACAGGAGGTGGTGGTGGTGGTGCATGCTTTTAATCCCAGCACTCGGGAGGCAGAGGCAGGCAGATCTCTGTAAATTTGAGGCCAGCCTGGTCTACTGAGGAAGTTCCAGAACAGGCTCTAAAGTTACAGAACAACCCTGTCTTGAAAAACCAAAAAAAAAGTAATTTTTAATTAATTATATTATCCAAATTTTATTTATAGAAACTAGGAAAATAATAACAAAATAGTAAGCTCCATTTAAAATGTTAGAATACTCTAGGAAACGAATAAAACAATACTATAAAAAAACAAAGCCTATTTCAGAGCACATTTTATATCTTTTCATTTTATTTTATTTTATTTTATTTTTTTGTGTTTTCAAGACAGGGTTTCTCTGTGTTGCTTTGGAGCCTGTCCTGGAACTAGCTCTTTTAGACCAGGCCGGCTGGCCTCAAACTCACAGAGATCCTCCTGCCTCTGCCTCCCGAGTTCTGGGATTAAAGGCGTGCGCCAGCACCACCCAGCTTATCTTTTCATTTTATATCAAATGAAAAAATTCTCAAAAATAAGTCTATCTTAGTTCATTTGAAAAAGAACTGTCTGATCAGTAACAAGCTAACCAACAAAAAAAGGCTTAAGCTACTTTAGATTCTTGTGGGTTACAAATTTAGATCTAAATAAATGTAAAATAATCATATTTCTAAAAGATATGCCATATTTCTAAAATCTAAAACTGGGAGTGTCTTCTTTTGTATGTGTGGGTTTGTGTGTGTTCATGTGTGTATAGAGAAGGGCATGTGCACACGTGTGCACTTTTGTGCATGTGGAGGTCAGAGGTCAACAGTGGGTGTTTTGCATGATCACTTTCCACCTTAATTTTGAGTCAGAGTCTCCCACCAAACCTAGAGCTCACTGACTGACTAGACTGCCTGGCTCAAGAGCCTCCTCAGAGCTGGGATCCAGGATGCACCATCACCTGCTGTTACGTGGTGCAGGAGAGCTACCTAGGTTTGCACAGCAAGTACTTTCCCATAACTGAACATCCCCCTAGCCTGGAGATGCTGTCTACACAAAATATCAAGAGCAAAAAGCAAGGGGGATTGGTAGATAATCAACAAAATTCTTAAACTTCTAAACAACACCTTTTTGTTTTGTTTTAATTTGGTTTCATTTGGTTTTGGTTTTCATTTTTGTTTTTAAGATAGGATTTCTGTTTGTTACAGCACTAATTGTCCTAGAACTTGCTTTGTAGACCAGGTTGGCCTCCAACTCACTGAAATCTGCCTGCCTGTGCCTCCCAAATGCCGGGATTAAAGGTGGGTGCCACCACCACCTAGCTAAACAACATTTTTAAAACACAAGAAAAAAGCATTATATATAAAGTCATAAAATGTAACAGTTTGGTATTTAAACAACAGGTATTACTGGCAAGAAGACCCAGACTGATCCAAACATGAATGTAAGCCAGAAGTAGTGGTATGTACCTATAGTCCCATACACTGGGGGGCTGAGGGAGGGAATCACTTGAACCAGAAGTAGTGGTGTGTGCCTATAGTCCTATACACTGGGGGGCTGAGAAGTAGTGGCATGTGCCTATAGTGCTATACACTGGGGGGCTGAGGGAGGGAATCACTTGAACACAGGAGTTCAGAGTAGGCAAAATGGTGAGACTCAGTCTTGAAGGAAGAAAAGGAAGAATTGAGCACCTGTAGACATGTATGCAGGCAAAACATCCATATACATATATATGTGTGTGTGTGTGTGTGTGTATAAAATTTTAAAGAGCAAAAGAAACTTTTAAAAAGTAGACTAGAGTGCCTGCTGTTGATTGTAAATCCTGTCTGAAGACTGATTCTTTTTTCTCAACATGAAGCAGATTTATTCCAGACAGACATGTAAAGATTATGAGCAATACAGATTCCAGATCGTGGTACATGAACACTAACCAAACCTCTCTAAATAAACGGTCCAGTTCTTGAGTCAGAGGTGTAGGATTTACCTCCATTTGGGGAAGGCCGAATTACAGAAGAAAGACATGTAGTGATCTCATACTTCCTACTTCTGAATTAGAAGTAGGAAAGGAAGGAACTTATTTCAACCAAAGAAACAGAAGATGGCAGCACCTGTACAATGCATTTTAATACAGTCAAGGGGACATACTTCCGTTTCTGAGTCATTGGGATCCAGCTGCGGTGGAAGGATGGGCAGCATGGGCTGGCCCATTTTAGCCATCCTAGAGATCAGCTTGGCCTTGACCGTATCTGGATTCTAAAGAGAAGGCACAAACATTACTGAACTGAGGTTGCTTTCAAACAGGTCTACTTCTTTGTCTTGTGTCAAAACCTTTAACCGTACTATTCCCGTTTTGAAACCATTTCTTCTAGAAAGCAAGAATTATTTATGATACCAAATACAATGCAAATGCTATGTAAATACAGTACTGAGGAAATAACGACAAGAAAGATGTCTGTCTGTGCACATTCAGCTCACATGCAATCCCTATAGCGCCCTAAAAAAGTAAGAATTAAAGATGTCATACATAGAAGCATACAATTAATAATAACAACAGTAAAGCTAAGTGCCTACAGATCTAGAATGGACTGCTTTTATATACATCATCTCCTTTAAACCGAGTGTCCTCACTGTAAAATGTGAGTGCTAATACATACTTGGTTTAACTTCCTGGGTTTAGAAAGTTTTTCCCCACTAGACCAATTACTTATGCGGTGTGTCCTGCTGTGGCTGGAGGAAGGGCCTGGCTCCCCCGTCACACCCTACCCAGGGCAAGGGAAGGCCTTGCTTGAGCTTGAAGTTCTTTTCCTATGGTCTGGTTCACCTCCAGCACACTCAGAGCCTGCATGGACCACGCAGGGCAGCAGGAAACTACCTTTTCATCCCTCCTAAAGGCATTCAAATCCAAATCTTACTGAAATAGCTATTGATCCTCTCCTCTGACCATCGGAGAAACAGAAAATCAGTGACCTGCTCACTTCATCCGTGGATGAAGCCTCAGTTTCTCTGGGAGAATAAAATCACAAGACGGTGACTCTTCCAGGGAAATGAGTGCTCTCCAGTCCTCACGCACACACACTTTCTTTGGTGGTAGTGGCAGTTACAGAATTTTTGTCCAAGATAAAATACATATAACATAAAATTATACTAGTGTAATATAAACAATGCTTATTAAGCACTTATAATATGTCAATATAATACTGAAAACTCAGCAAGTGTTCATTTCCTTATGTCAATTTACATATGAAGAAATAAACCTGCTTAGAGTGAGTTCTTCAAGGTCACACAGAATAAGAACAGAGAAAGCCAAGGGTTATCCTCTGATCCATTTCTAGTGGAATACATGGCATCTCTAAGATGGAGGTGCACTTCACTGGTGGGGTTCACACCAGTCTCCTAGCAACGCCACAACTACTGTGCATTAAAAGCGGCTTTGCGCAGGCTCTGCGCTCAGGGCTCTAGAGCATCTTCAATCCTCACAAGAACTGTAAAGGGGGGCTATGAAAATTATTTCCACTGCAACAATAAAGAAACTGAGGATTTGGAAAGTTAGATCATTTTCTCAGAACTACTGATGTAAAAGCACAAGCTAATGTCTACTGGCTGATTTCCAAGTAGGAAGAAAAGAATATTGTAATAATTAATTTCTATCCTAAGTCAGTGGCTCTCAAACCAGATACTAGACACATAAAACCAAGCACTCCAGGGCTCAGGGGTACAGAATTGTACTTACTGCATTTAAAGTAGGCTGTTCACTGAGAGAGTTAGATTTGGAACGAAGAGTTGGCTCCCTGAAATGAAATAAAACATCCTAAGATAATACAAAATCTATAATCACAAACCCAAATTAAGATGGCTTAAAAACATTGCTTTTGAAATGTTCAACTGAATAGCTAAAACAGAATTTTAACTCCTCTTTATTTGTATAGTCTTTGAAGGCAACCAAAGCTGAGCAATCTTTCAAATCCATTCCGCTTTCTCGTTCTGTCTTCATGCCCTTTGCCCAGCTTTCCCCCAGAATTCTGCAGATATTCTCACACCACTCTCACAGACTGTTAATCCATTGTCAGTAAAACTGATGCAGCATTTTCCCATTTTCCTGATCCTGTTTATTTTTTCTCCAATTACGTAAAAGTGACTGCAGTTTCAAACTGTATCTCAGGAACCAGGCTGAAGAATCCTAGAGCTTGCCATGGCCCTAACGTCTTACCCAGATTTGAGAGGCAGTGGTATGGGTGATGTCACAACAGGGTCACCTGAGAGGCTATCAGCAGTAGGTATGGGGGAGGGTGCTGCAGAGTCCCTGGAGCTCACACTGTGGCCATCAGAGCCCAAATCTCTAGCCAACTTCACCTGGGGTGAAACAGAATGTACAGGCTTACCCTTCCATACGCAGAAGACAAAGGAAATGGTTAGTTACAATCTGTGTGTATGAATGAGGGCAAAGGTGCTTTTCCAAACGGGGCTATAGCTTTGTAACTGTTCTGCTTACACATTAATGCACTTCCATGTCACTAAATATTTATCTTCATTGCTTTCATGAAAGCTACTGAAAAGTTTGTCTAACTTAGAGATCATGCTCTTTCTTGCTATGATCTACAAGGTAAAGTTTCTAAAGGATTTTTGAAACAGAAGTCATAAATATACATGCTATTATAAAAACCTATTTCACTTAATTAGATGACTTATTTCTATCACAAATAATATGCTTTAATGTCTAGCTCTATGTCTAGATCTTTGCATATTATCTTAGATATTTCCTGAGTACAAATTCCTGTAAGTTAAATTATTGGATAAAAGGTATACTCCTGGGCCCGGAAGATTACTAAGTGGGTAAAAGCACTACCCATTAAGACCAACAACTTGAATTTGATTTTCATAATCCACGGAGTGGAGAGAACGGATTCCTGTAAATCGTCCTCCGCCCTTCACATGTGTGTTATAGAATACACACACGCACACACAGAGTAAATGTTTTTAAGGAGTATGCTCACATTTTAAAAAGTTTTGCATAAATTATTAAGTCACTTTTGTAAAATCTGAACTTGTCCACAGGCACAGCAGTCTATAAACCTTTCTCGACTCCTTGACATGCTAGGTAAGGGTTATCATTATCAGTTTTGTCAACTTAATATGCTTGTCAGGCTCCAATTGTTTGTTTAAAGATACATTTTTATTTTTAAATTATGCATAGATGAGTGTGCCTGCATGACTTTATGTGCAGCACTTGCACACAGTTACTGCTAAGGCCAGCAGTAACTGACGGATCCTCTGGAGTTACAGGCTGTTATGAGCTGCTAATGTGAGTGCTGGGAACTGAACCTGGGTCCTCTGGGAAAGCAGGAAGTGCTCCTAACTACTGAACCATCTCTCCAGACCTCCTTTTTCTTTCTTTTTTTTTCCCAACTCAAGGTCCTCTTGGCTTTTTGTCCAATCACCATTTAAAATATTAGATATGACAAGGCATTTTTAAGTGACGTCTATTTAGTAGATACTCTCCCCTCATCTCCCTCCTCCTTACCCCATTCCCCTTTATTTTCCCTCTCCAGTCTCTTTCCCACTCTCAAGCATGCTTTTTCTAATTTCTCTCTCTCGTTCTTTGAGACAGAGTCTCACTATGTAGCTCTGATTGTCCTGGAACTCACTCTATAGACCAGGTTGGACTCAAACTCACAGAGATCCACCTGCTTCTGCTTCTCAAATGCTGAGACCAATGGCATGTGCCACTATGCTCAGTTTTAATTTCTTGATTACTGGTAAAGTAGAAAACTTTTGGTTACGTTTACAAGTCAGTATTAACAGTTTTAAACTAGTTTGTTGTCTGTGATTACCCATGATTTATTTCCCCAAGCTCAAAGAAAAATCTATAAGATGTTTAAAAATAAAAAAGGCAGCTGGGGGACATGTGGTAAGAAGATTAGATTGGCCCAGCAGAGAGAAAGGCTTCCCATTAGGAGGGCCACCTACATATAGTCATTCTATGTATTATTTGTACTATATTTTATAGTTTATAGTCACCAGCACACCATTTAAACATAATAATAACAAGGTCACTTGGGAGAAGGAACTATAAAATAACCAAAATTTTAGTATAGAAATTATAGACATTCAAAGACAGGGTCTCACTGTGTGACCCTGGCTGGCCTGAAACTCATTAGTAGATAAGTTTGGCCACAAACAACTCACTAAGATCTGACAGCTTTAATCCCAAATGTTGGGATTAAAGATATGCACCACCACACCTGGCTGACAAGATTTTTTTTTTTTTTTTTTTTTTGGTTTTTCGAGACAGGGTTTCTTTTCTTTTTTTTTTTAATTATTTATTTATTATGTATACAGTGTTCCGTCTGTCTGTATGCTTGCTGGCCAGAAGAGGGCACCAGATCTCATTACAGATGGCTGTGAGCCACCATGTGGTTGCTGGGAATTGAACTCAGGACCTCTGGAAGAGCAGTCAGTGCTCTCAACCTCTGAGCCATCTCTCCAGCCCAAGACAGGGTTTCTTTGTGTAACATTCCTGGCTGTTTTGGAACTGACTTTGTAGATCAGGCTGGCCTCAAACTCACTGAGAGCCACCACCTGCCTCTGCCTCTCAAGTGCTGGAATTAAAGGTGTGTGCCACCACCACCTGGCAGCTGACAAGACTTTTACACACTAAAAAAAGACAAGACAATGAACTCCAAGTCCATTCTCAGAGAAAAGCACTCAGATTTCTTCTAAAGCTTTCAGAAATTCCTATGAACACGTGTGTGTGTGTGTCTTGTGTATGTGTTTATATATACATATATGCAAATATGACTATGTATACAAATACATATGGTCATTATTAACACTCACCACCTACCAGCATGTCCATGTAGGTTCTGAGAACTGAACTCAGACCTCATGCCTGAAGGCAAGGATTTAACAAACCTTCCTACCCTGCCATTTCTATTTTTAAAAAGCAATCTGTATCTTCATATCTGATTTACAAGCGTTAACACAGGTCAGTTTCACTTACCCGCCTAACTTCTACCTCAAACACCAAGATTGAGTCTGTTGGCTGGGCCCAGCCTATCACTCCTTCAGAGCCAGCAGCACAGGCTGAAGGAATGATAATTAACCGTTTTCCTCCTTTCTTCATGCCCAATAGTCCATCCTCTAAGCCCTATAGAAACCAGAAGTGGGGAAAAACTCATCAGACAAAAAGAACATGCACACAAACACATAAACTTACACATATACACCACACACGCAATAAACAAACTAAAAAAAAGGAATAAAAGCTAGCATATCTGGAGTTGGGCAAACATTTAAATGCTGGGGGCAGAAGTAAATACTATTAAAAGAGTGGAAGCTAACACATATTAATCACATCTTTCCAGGTGCTATGATTAAGAATTTCACCTGCTTATTTAATTCCATCTGTTTGTTTAATTCATGATTGCTGGCATAGCCTTCACTTAAGTAAGAAAAGAGAATTTTGGAGGTTCAATAGCTGCATTAAAGACCATACACTCAGTAGGTATAAAGCTGATGCTGGACATGAGATGTGTCTAACTTCAAGGAGTATGCTTTAACTAGTTAATAGAAAAAGTCTCTAAAGAATTTGGAGGGAACAGGCATAGGCAATGAAGAGAAAAAAACTTTTGCATATGGATGAATAGACCCAGCACATTCCCACACCATGACACTGGTCACCTACTAAAATACTCATTGATAAGCAAAATTCCCAACTCAAATCAAACAGATGAGAAGCGAGCATTATGGCAGTTGCTGGAAGAAACAGTGCCACCTCTCCATTAGGCTGTGGGAACAATGGAATAATTTCATCACAGCCTTAGGAGGAAAAAGAAAGGGAGGATCCAAGAAAACAAATGCACTCATCTTCAGTATAAGAAGCAAACATTTCTCCAATGTCAACAGTGTAGAAAACACCTTCCTACCCTTCAAACAAGCATTTCCAGATTCTAGAGGTTAAGGACAGGTTAGGAATACTACAAAATTTAAGCTAAATTCCAAAACAGGCTTTTACCTTGACTACTTTTCCTGATCCCAATTTCAGGCGAAGTGGTTTATCTTTGTTAGCAGTAGAGTCAAAAACCTGTCATTTGGTAAAATAAATAAAGTCAAGTCAGTTTCAAAAACAATAATAATCATGATAATCAACTAACAGGAAATGACAGGTATAATAATGGGCACATAGCTTCTGAGGAAATTAAAAAGATAGGACTACATTATGGTTGGAGGTTATCACAACGAATGTCCCAGGAACAAGGATTTACCAAACTGGAGAGCAGCACACTTCTGGCACTATCAGCTGAGCACCTTTTCATCTATAACAAATGTTTCCATTTGGTGCTGATACAGTCCTGCCAGGAAGTTGGGATGAGGATTACTAACCTCCTTGTACGGGAAAACCAAGAGTTTAACAGATTTGGTCCAGGTCAAACCGGGATACAACTGGACTTAATCAGCTCAGCATCCTTTTTTGATACAGGTTTTTACTATGTACCCCGGATGGCCTGGAGCTCACTCTGTAGACCGGGCAGGCCCCAAACTCATAGAGATCTTCCTGCACCTGCCTTCCAAGTGCTGGATTAAACATTGACGCCACTACGGCCCACACATTCACACTTCTTAAGTCATACAATTCTTTGTCTTTTGAGAATTTAGTACTAAAAACAAACGTTTCAACATATTTACAGTGTCTGTTAAAAAGGAAATGGTAGCTAGACACAGTGGTGTGATTTTAATCCCAGAACTCTGGGGAGAGGGCAGAGGCAGGCAGATCTCTGTGAACTCCAGGCCAGCCTGATCTACCTAGCAAGTTCCAGGCCATCCAGGGCTACATAGTGAGCCTTTTTCAAGAAGAAAAAGAAATATGGTGAGAAGTTTTAAAAATAAGATCTATTTCTTAAAGATATATTCAGGTTTAAAAGTGGTAGTGAGGACAAGACACACACATCAGTTATCCTTGGGAAACTGTGTCCCTCCTAGATAGACATGAGGTGGGTGTGGGGCACTGAGCACATCTGCACAGGAGCTTTTCATGAATGTGCCCCAAAGCAGTTGTGGACACGGATCCAGCCCTCACAAGGGTTCTACTAATCAGAGTTCACTTTCCATTGCACATGGAAGGTCGCAGGCCACTTACACAGAAAGAACTTGGGAAATAAAGTCTTACCTGGCCCAGCACCTGATTCTGAAGGAGCCAGCCTGTATAGGTTACTTCCAAAGAATCTCCAATGTCTACTGCAGGACCCTCTGCTGCAACCAGATCCTGACATAGCACTGCATCCAAGGAAGAATGGCTATTGCACTTGGCCACACACACCTGCAAGGTCAAAATCAGAGCACCATCAGCTTGGTTTAAGCTTCATACATACCCATTCAATCACCACTAATATTCTTCCTCAAACAACTGCATACTAACAAGCAGGTAACAAGTTTAGAAGTAAGCCATTCCAAAGTTAGTAATCTGGCCAGGAATCAAGGTGCCTAAGAAGACAGCATTGGAGTCAGGATATCTGGGTACAGATTCAGGCATTGCCAGTTCTTAATTCTGACCTACAGCAATTAACTTAATCTCCACATATCTATCTACCCATTCCCACTTGCAAAATGAAGAAGAGCTTTGCAAATCGTATAGGGCGGCTATGAAAACTAGACAGGCCAATTCAAACAGAGTGCTTAGCAATGTGCCTAGGAAATAAAAGTAAGTATACAGAGGCTCTGATCTCATGATCTAATAATCAACTCCCAAAGACCTAACCTCCTCCTACCATCACCTCAGTGATTAGATTTCAATAATCTCCTAGGGAAAGGCACATTCAAACCATAACAGAGAACATCCATATTACAAGCGTCCTAAATAATTTTCATGAGGTGGAAAGATAAAATACAGAAAATGTAGAACTCTTGAAGGAATACACATACTTACACTTATTATACACATTTAAAAAAGCAATATAATGTGTTAATATGTGTTACTCTGGGTTGATGTAGGATAGTCTTTCTGTATGCTGTGAATATGTGTTGCTCTCATTGGTTGGTAAATAAAGCTGCTTTGGCCTATGGCAAGGCAGGATAGAGCCAGGCAGGAAATCCAAGCAGAGATACAGGAGAAAAAGGGCGGAGTCTGGAAGACTCCAGCAGCGGCTGAAGGAGCGAGATGCTAGAGCACTGGTAAGCCATCGGCCATGTGGCAATACACAGAACAGATATGGATTAATTTAAAGATAAGGGCTAGCCAGTAATAAACCAACCATTTATAATTAATATAAGCCTCTGAGTGATCATTTTAAAAAACGGCTGTAGGGACAGAGAAACAGTCGGGTCCTTACACTGGATAGCAAAGCCATGAGTGTGTGTGTTATATGCTTGTGGGGGGGCACAAGGATTCTAAGGACACCACCACTCTTGACTTTCTCTTTGTCACACAGTTCTAGGGATAGAACTCAAGTCCTCATGCTTACATGACAAGCACTTTACCAAGTAGCCTTTAAATGATTTTTTAGATGTTTTCTACAATGAGTTTATAAAATTTCAAGTCTTTTGAAATGCTACTTTTGCGGGTTCCATGTATCTTTAAGAAAATTGTGTAGCAAAAAAGGTAAGGATTTTTGCATGTATAGATGTGTGTGGTATGTGTATACATGTGTTCACATGTCTGGACACATGGATGTGAGGCTGCATGTGTCTGGAGGTCAGAGATTAATGTTAGATGTCTCCCTTGATAGCTATAATTACTGAGACAGGGTCTCTGGCTGAACCCACAGCCCCCTGTTCTGTTAGTCTAACCAACCAGTTTGCTCTGGGAATCCACCTCTGCCACACTCGTCTACCACTTATTTGAGTGCTGGGGATGTGAACTCTGGTCCTTACACTTGCACAGCAACAAGTATTTTAACACCTGACCATTGCTCTAGCATAGCAAAAAACTGTTTAATCAAATAAGCTTATATTTCTCCATTTTTCCCTTTAAACATTTCCTCAGGCAATTTCAGTAAGAACTTCTATTCTTTTCCTACAACACAGCAAGTTTAGTGGGTTCTTTACCTTGTCATTGATAACACAGAGCAGTAATGGTTTTGCCATAACGTAAGTAAGGAAGACTCCAAACAAGTACTCTGGCTTTGCACAGGAAAGAGGAAGAAGACGTTACCTGCTTATTGAACGCCACAGCAGCCTTCTCTGACTCAAACATGATAGACCAGTTTTGTCTCTGGTCATCATAAAAGGTGCAGTAGTTATTGGACCGAACCTAGAAAAAGAAAAAAAGTGTGGGTAATTCAAGCAGAGCAGCACATGGGTAACTCGACTCTCAGCTCACAGAGCATGACTGACTCAGGACTCGGAGAGGTCGTAAGGACCCCCCTCCCCAGCCTCCATTAGTCCACGACTGACTCGGGACTCGGAGAGCTAGTAAGGACCCCCCCTCCCCAGCCTCCATTAGTCCACGTTCCCAAAAGGAGCCAGGCGACCTTTTTGAAAGGTTGCTTACTGATGTCCAGGTCTGAGCAGAGGATCTTTTCCTACCAAGAATATTTAGGGCCATCTTTCCCACAGACCTAAAGGGGCTGGTGACTCCAGCATGAGGGGCTCTTACCATTAGCTCAAAGTTCAGATGAATTGTAGCCACAGTCACTGGCTGCTGCTGACTGATGTAAAGAAGGATCCTATACTGTAATCGAACACAACGGACAGAAAAAGAAAGCAGATGTAAGACATGAGGCTGCGTTCGGTCTGGGAATACGATTCTTCATTGCCCACTTTAACTCTTGTCGTTCTGGCCTCACTCTACCCATAATTAACAATAGCTTTGTTTTGTTGGCATTTCCATTCGTGTGAGGGGTAACTAAGAGATGGTGCCTGGATGTTTTACAGATGATACAAGCTAGATTGGCTGGTGCGTGCCTGTAACCCAGCACTTGGGAGGCTGACACAGGAGGACTGCCATGAGTTTGAATTCAATATGAACTTCAGAATGAAACTCTGTCTCAACAGAAAACACCAATCAACCACCACCACCAACAACAAAAATCTTCTAAACGTGAGGGAGAAATCACATAAATGATATGTGTGTGAATTTTCACATGTATATGTGCCCATGTGGAATCAGCCAGATTGAGAAAAGACCAACGTTTCCTACATCCTAATAGCTTCCTCTGCCCCTTCCTATCATAATCTCTCCCTACCCCAGGGAACCACTACTATGACTCGGTCACAGGTCAATTTCACTATAGTTAAATCACTATAAATGATTCTAGATCTTGATTTTTGTCCTGCTTTTTTTTTTTTTTTTTTTTGGTTTTTTGAGACAGGGTTTCTCTGTGGCTTTGGAGCCTGTCCTGGAACTAGCTCTGTAGACCAGGCTGGTCTCGAACTCACAGAGATCCGCCTGCCTCTTGTCCTGCTTTTTAACATAGACTCGAGCCCTGTTACTTAGCAATACTTGGTTCTCTATCGTACATCACTATTACTCTATATAAATACACCTCAGCTTATTTACTCACTCTCATCAGGTTGTGTCCAGTTGGAAACCATTATGGACAGAGCATCTGTGAACTTTCTCCATGTTTTCTAGAGGACATGGACATATACCTCCTTCTACCTAATGAACTTCTTTCCAAGTTTCTCATAGTAACAATGCATTGATAATGGATTCTCTCAACTTTTGTTTGTTTGCAAATTTATTTTGTCCTTATTTCTTACTGGTATTTTTCTTGGTATAGGACTACACACAGAGAGTCAGGATTATAGCAAGAACTACAGCATGTACTTAGAAAGATCATGGGTAAGAAAAACCATGGATGGGAAACCTCAGTGGAACTCTGAAGCACAGCTTACTTCAATACTGAGGGGACTTAAGAGATGAGTGAACAGCCACAAGGCAGAATGCCCCACTCTCTAGGACCTCTCAGATGGGACAAAACCCCAGGCCCCTCCCCCAACTCCCTCGGCTTTTCTAGCCAGCAAGCAGGAAAAAAATAAAATAAAATCTTGAATTTTGCATGTAAATGGATGGAATTAGAAAACACTATCCCGAGTGAGATAACCCAGACCCAAAAAGATGAATATGGTATGTACTCACTCCTAAGTGGATACTAGTCATAAACAAAGAATATTGAGCCTATAGTTCATGAACCTAGAGAAGCTAAGTACTAAGGTGAACCCAAAGTAAAATATATATAGACCCACCTCGAAATTGGAAATGGACAGGATTGACTGGCAGGGTTGGGAGCATGGGGGTTTGGGGAGAGGGAAGAGGGGAGGGTAGGAGGAGAAGAGAAGGGGAGAGGAGAACTTGAGGAAATGGGATGGTCAAGATGGAAGAAGGACAGAGATGAGAGCAAGGAGAGAGATATCTTGATTGAGGGAGCCATTATAGGGTTAGTAGAAACCTGGCTCTAGAAAAATTCCCAAGAATGCAAAAGGATGACCCCACCTATGACCCTGGGCAATAGAGGAGAGGAGGCCAATCTTGACTTGCCCTGTAATCAGACTGATGATTATCTTAAATATCACCATAGAGCCTTCATCCAGCAACTGATGGAGGCAGAGGCAGAGACCCACATCAGAGCACTGGACTGAGCTCCCAAAGTCCAGTTAAGAATGGAAGGAACAACAATATGAGCAAAGAGGTCAAGACCTTGACGGGTTCACCCACTGAAACAGTTTACCTGAGCTAATAGGAGTTCACCAGCTCCAGCCGGACTGAAAAGGAACAAGCATAGGACCAAACTAGTTCCTCTGAATGTGGTTGACCGTTGAATTGCTGGGGCAGACTAAGGGGCCACTGGCAGTGGCACCAGGATTTATCCCCACTGCTTGTATTGGCTTTTGGGGAACTGGTTCTCTTTGGATGGACACCTTGCTCAGCCTAGATATAATAGGGAGGGCCTTGGACCTTCCCCAAAGCAATGCCTTACCTTTTCTGAGGATTGGATGGGGGTGAGGTGGGAGGGTATGTGGAGGAAATGGGGAGGGGAGGAAGTGAGAACCTGAATTGGTATTTTTTTAATCTAATAAATTAAAAAGTTTTAAGTAAATAAGGAGAGAAAATTCAAGTTAGTAGAATCAGAAGTGGTGTTGGGGAATGTAAATAACGATTCTGCAGAAATAAAGAGAGCCTGTTTTCTAGGACTTGACATGCCTAGGGCCAGTGCAGGGCCTGCAGGTGTGGAGTCTGTGACATCCAAACTCTAAAGTGCAGACGGAGTGCCCTATGAGCACTGCTTCAAAGTCTTCAACACAATCCTGCTGCACTGAGTCCAGCAGCATACTAGAAGAATTTTGCAGTGTGGCAAAGGGTGTGTTTATTCCTGGATTTCAAGGATGGTCAGCAGAATTCCAGGTCTATCCCCGAGGCCTCTGCTTTCCTTGTTTGCCCTGAGCAAGAAACACCTGATTTCTTGACTCTTTTGTGACCCAGTCAACTGCATACTTTCCTCTTCAGGTTTGAAGATAAGCTGGGACTTATGATCACGCCGGAAATGCTGCCAAAGTTGTTTAGTTTAATGATGGAAAACATAGGTTAACTATGTTGGTAATCAGAGAGAAAATAGTCTTGGCCCACAGCCAAGTCTCCTAAACCTCATCTAAATTTCATAGCTAAATCCTCTCTTTATGAATACACCTAGGTAGAATAATTCTTTCCTTGGCTTAATCTGGTCTGATTGGAATTCTTTCACCAGCGGAGAGGCTCTGTTAAAAAAATATTCTTAACAGTTGGAGGTCCCATGAAGCTGGATCTGTTTTTCCCAACGGGCACGGCGCCAACGTGTTGGAAAATGCTCCCAAGCGCTCAGCCAGACTAGACTGGCTTTGGACTCTATGCAGGTGGGGTCCCCTGGGGTGACCCATTCATTTTTCAGGCTTTTGTTGAAGTCTTGGCCACGCCAAAAGTCTGATCCAGGCAGCTAAAACCAAGCCTTTTGCTGAGATGGGACTTGGGTGTCGGGAGATGTTCCTCACCGACTTCTCATGCACCCCATTTGTGACGCAAGGGCTCTGTTCGTGGATGCATCTCAACAGGCTTGAGTCACACAGGCATGAGCTTCCAGTGGGTCCTTACAATTCCAAGCCAATTATTCAAACGCCCTTAAGCAGCCTTTTACAAAAATATTCTTTTAAATTGGGGCTGTTTAACCTAAATTAACAACACTCCAAAAGTTCCTAGCCGAACGCTCTCATCCAGCCCCCTTTCATCTCTTCCTCTGTGCTGATTCATACCACACACAGTTTGTCCCCCCATTCTGCCTCTTCTCTGCTGATTAATACAACGCAGTTTGTCCTGCCCCCCAAAAAAAAGAAAAAAAAAAAGAAAAATCATGGATGAACTTTGAGGGTACTGAGCTAATAAAGCAAGTGAATCACAAAAAGATAAATATCATACGAGTTCACTTACATAAGGCTAAGAATGACTGGTGCACGTGCATTACACATCAGTTAAACCAACAGAGACTTCACCCACGGGCTAGAGACAAAATGGCTCAGTGGTTAAGAGCGTTTGTTGCTCTTCTAGAGCACCTGCGTTTAGTTCCCCAAATTCAAGATAGGAGACTCAAAACCATCTGTAACTCTATCTCCAAGGTAAAAGACACCTTTGGGCCCCTCAGCTACCTGCATGAATGTGCATATTCCCACATGTAGACACAAATACTTACACATAACTAAAAATAATAAAATAAATATTTTTAAGAATAAAATCTGATGTGTATTCTATTTTTCAGAGTGAAGGGTTGATCACTACAATGGTAAACTGAAGTGGCCGTAAGAGGATCATGCTGGAGGGCCGACTCGGTGGAAGCACAGCTGTGGCCCCTAATTCCTAGTGCCTGCACATGCTCCCAACTCTTCTGATTCAGTTTCAGAGGGTTCAGTGCTCTCTTCTCACCTCTACGGGCACCACACCCTCACTTGGTACAAAGAAAAACAATGAAGGTAAAATATTCATATACTTAAAATAAATAAACAAATCTTAAAAAATTTTTACAAACCAGTCTGCTTCTAAGTTGTCCTGATTCTCAGGTAGGACCTGTCCAAGGTTTTGGCTAAGTGCCTAGACAGTCTCTAACTCCTTGGTTCTTAAAGTTCTACTCAACAGACTTTTAGCTGAGTTCTTTAGCTACTTCCCCATGAAGTTCAAAATCTAGCAAACACAAGAAGAAGACAGTTGTCACTTGTCCTCTCTCTCTACAAGTGTTTCTATTACGCACCACAAAGCTGCAGAAATTGTTGACTCTGGCCCAGTGCCTGGACTTAATACCACCCCTGACCTCAACAAATGTTCCACAGGGGAAAAGCCATGTAGAGCTGCAAGACTCTGGGCTGTTAATTTCTCTTTTCTTGAGCAGTTTCTGCTTGTGTCACCTGAAGGCAGCTATATGCTCAAGGTATCCAACAGAGGCGCCCCATTGCTTTCTTTCATTTATCTTCCCTTCAACATTTCTACAGCTCCCCAGAGAGTTTTTTTTTAATCTAAAGAACTTACAATATAACTGATGCAATTTATCTGTGTCTTTCTTCTTTAAGACAGGATCTCACTGTGTAGCTCTAGAAAACCATATCTCCCTTGAGCCTACAGAGATCCTCCTGCATCTGCCTCTCAGGTCCTGTGTGTGCTATCACCAGCTATCAACTTTTTAATACGAATGCATGTTTTGTCTGCATGTATGTCTGTGTACCATGTCTGTACCTTCTGCCTGGTGTCTGTTGAGGCTAGAAGAGAGCATTGGATCCCCTTGAACTGAAGTTATAGACAATTATGAGTAGCAACGTGGATGCTGGGAATTGAATCTTGGTCCTCTGAAAGGGCAACGAGGGCTCTTAACCACTGAGCAATCTCTCCAGTCCCTAAAATTTACTTTATTTTATGTAAATGAGTGTTTTGCCTGTATATATGTCTATGCATCACATCCATGCAGAGGCAGAAGAGGGTATCAGATTCCCTGAATTGGAATTAAAGACAGCTGTGAGCCAATATGTGCGTGCTGAGAACCAAACTCAAGTCCTCTACAAGAGAAGCTGATACTCTTAACCTCAAAGCCATATCTCCAGCCCCTTATCTGCTTCTTTATAATTGCTTCTCCAACCTACTACCTCTTTCTAGCCATCAAACATAGTGATATCTCACAACTAGAGTCCTAAGATCCAAATTGTCATCTCTAATTAATAGGTCCAAATAATAGTCAGCAGCAGCTGCTAAGACACAAAACAAGATACAGCCAGCCATCATTTGCTTCCTAATGAGAAGATGGCTGTTGGGGAATATTAATTTGAGGCATGTTTCTTTTGTTTATGTTGCATGTGTTTAACTCTGTGAAGCTGTGTTACTGTATCTGTCTGAAACAATGCACGCTCTCTCTGTCCGTTCTTCTTCTCCCCCTTTCCTCTCCCCACATAACTCCCCTACCCTTACACCCTCCCAATATCCACTCAATAAACTCCCCATACCTCCCCCCCCCCAAAAAAAAGAAAGAAACAAGTCAAGCTAAGGCCAGGCATTTATAAGAAATAATAAGTCTCCATGTGTGATTTATTTGGGAGTTGGGTGGCAGGTCCACCAAAGAAGCAAAGAGGAAAAGGCCTAAAGAATAATGAGTAAAAATAACCAACAGATGGAAGATTCAGGGACACAGGAGCCAACTGCAATGGGTAACCTCACTAGATGTTGATTCAAATGGATGTACAAGAAGAAAAACCACAGCGGGACAAAGAAATGTGAACACTTCCTGGTAGTGACTGAGATTAAGATGTACTGTGAACTTGTACCACATACTTGTGTTTCAAATTTCCTATACTTGTTTTTGTGTGTCTTACAGCTTTGTCCATTGTATCAGTCACCAAGGGCAACTAATCTTAGCTGTTTGCCAAGAAGCATGAACCCTGTGTTCTCTGGGCCTCTGAAATGTGAAAATTTCTTATGTTTAACTCAATAATGTCTAACTCAACGTTCTGGAGAGGTATTTGAACTGGATTACTAACTTAAAGAAGTCAGGCTTGGAGGTATTTAGTGACATCCAGTACACTTCACACTGCTAATGTACAGTAATCAACTGTTCAACCTTGTTTTCAGACTTGCAGAGGATAAATATTGGTCATTAACATAGGCATAAACATGGAATGTGTTGATGGTACAATGAACGATCATTCCCCAACGAAGAGCATCCTTGACAGTTGACCAAAGCTTTCCAGCTCTAACACTGGAACCATCACAAAGGAAATGTCTAAAGCAAACATTCTGAGCAGCTGCACTTGCTTTAATGATGACAGCAAGCAAACCGAGGCCATCTACTGAATCCTGAACAGTCAGAGTTATCATTAGTAGCCACTCTTACCCTCTGACCCATGAGCCAGATCAGGTAGAAAAAAACCAAAGCTCTCATATTAACAATACGTGGGGCTTCTCACCTCTCTGGTCGTGTGGTTCCCCAGGACGGCAGCTCCGAATTTGCCCTGCTTTGCATATTGACCATTTATGCTATTGAAGCAAGAAAACAACAGATATCAGGACCCCTCTAAACCATGAAGGCCGTACTCTCTTTTGATACAACTAGGCATCTTGCCTGGAGAAGAGGACAGAGGTGGGTAGTTTTTAATCTAAAGCTCTTCTGCAACTTCTTTTTCTTTGAGACAGGCTCTCATTGGCATAACTCTGGCTGGTCTGGAACACACAGAGGTCCTGCAGTCTCTGCCACCCAAGTGATAGGATTAAAGTGAGTGTGATCACACCCAGCCCCACCCTCTTCATTCTCCAATCATCTATTGTCCACAGTATCCCTGAGAATTTAAGAAGCTGCTGTGGAGGGCCCAAACACTAACAGCACAGACAAGATAACGGTGAATTATCTAAGGCTCTATCTAGGCAAGGGCTAAGGAACTAGGCTGCAATGGGTGAGCTTCTGAGAAAGGACAGGAACTGCATCCTATGCTTCCCAGCCTTCCATAGCTCAGTGCTTTCTCTCCCAACTACTTACTATCGGTATGCATGCACTGCAGTCGCAAACAGCACAGATGAAATGCCTGTAGTGGCTGCTGCTGGTTTGGGTGCTGTCTGATTTCCTGAAGATGCAAAAAACAAAGGTATCATTCACTCTTTTTTTAATTTTTAATCACAAAATTAGCTTCAAAATTTCATTTCACACTTTCTGGTTAGAGTAACAATGTTTTCATTACCACTATCCTCATTGGATCCAGAGAGAGAGCTCTGTGACCTTGTCTGGTGGTGAGGAAGAGGCTCTAAGTGGGAGCTGTACACATGACAGTAGATGATGGTAGACTCACTCCAGCCCCAACACCAGACACCACAAATTTTATGGCTAGAAAAGAAGTGTTGTCTAGAAAACAGGGCCATACTACAGAGTTCTTTTCTCAATGCTCTGACAACTGGGGTATATAAAAGTAAACCTATTTCCCTCTTCTAGAACAGGGAATTTAGTGTGACGGTGTGGATAAAAGTTCCTGGAAGAAACCCCACCTGACCCTGAATCTCCTACAAGGCTGATAAACTGACGAGAAGGCCAGTGATCGGGCTGAGACAAGAATGTTTGCAGGCTCAGAGCCTAATTACAGCCTATGCTGAGCTGTCTTCAGTCTGCTTAACAGCCCTCCCTTGCCCACTCGTGTGTCTAATCTAACATCCTGGTGACTAACACGTTGAGCCTTTTGGGATGTATTAACTTAAAAGAACGTGAGCTTCTACCAACCACAAGGCTAAGAATGTCATCAGATAGCATCTGAGGCCCACAACAGATATTGTCTCAGTTTGTTTTAACCTCATGACTCCATCAATGCCCCAGGAACACCCCCTCCCACCCCGTTAAGACTTAAAGCAATAGAGGAGAGGGTGCCCAAACTGGCCTGGCCTGTAATCAGACTGATGAATATCTTAAATGTCACCATAGAACCTTCATCCAGCAACTGATGAAAGCAGAGGCAGAGACTCGCATCAGAGCACTGGGTGAGCTACCAAAGTCCAGCTGAAGAGTGAACGGAGTGAGAATATGAGCAAAGAGGTCAAGACCATGATGGGTTCACCCAACGAAACAGTCTACCTGAGCTAATGGGAACTCACCAACTCTGGACTGACAGGGAAGGAACCAGCATAGGACCAAACTAGACCCTCTGAATGGGGGTGACAGTTGTATGGCTGGGGCAGACTGCGGGGCCACAAGCAGTGGCACCAGGATTTATCCCTATTGCTTATACTGGCTTTTTGGAATCCATTCTCTTTGGATGGATACCTTGCTCAGACTAGATATAGCAGGGAGAGCCTTAGACCTTCCCCAAGCAATGTGCCTTACCCTCTCTGAAGAGTGGGGGGATGGGGGGGATAAAGGTGAAGGGAACAGGAGGAGGGGAAGTAGTGGGAACTGGGATTGGCATGTAAAATGAATAAAGATAGTTTGTTTTTTTAAAAAAAATAAAATTTAAAAAATAAATAAAGAAAACATAGTAAGTAAATAAACAATGACCTCCCCAATCATGTGAAAAGTTCCTCCATTTGTGACTCTCTCTTCTGTTCCCCAATCATGTGAAAAGTTCCCCCATTTGTGACTCTCTCTTCTGTTCCCCAATCATGTGAAAAGTTCCCCCATTTGTGACTCTCTCTTCTGTTCCCCAATCATGTGAAAAGTTCCCCCATTTGTGACTCTCACCACACTGTAACATGAGGTTTGAGAAGGCCTGAGTCTGTGATCCTGGGCCACAGTGGCTCATAGCTGACTTACAGTAAACTCTGTCCCTTTGAGGTGATGGCTGTATTTTTGCATCAATGTTTAAACTACACCCAGTAGTTAAAACTAATGTTTTAAAATGGCACATTAAGGGCAAATTGCATTCTGTTGTTTTTGTCTCCTTTGTGTAGTCCAACCTGGCCTGAAACTCATGATCTCCCTCCCTCAACCCCCTGAGTGATGGGACCACAGGTGTTCAGCACCACACCTACTGGTAAACTACAAGCTAAGCTCACTAGGTGAATATCTTCATAGAAAAGTAATAAGAGAACACTAAATAAAAATCAAGTGAATTTACTTTCACACGCCTTTTCCTCTCTTATTTTCTTGTTGGAACAACTTCCCTCAATTTTAGAGCATAAGGACATTGTAAAAAGTCAGACAGGGACGGGCAGTGGGGCGCACACTTTAATCCCGGCCCTCGGGAGGCAGAGGCAGGCGGATCTCTGTGAATTCGAGGCCACCCTGGTCAATAAGAGCTAGTTCCAGGACAAGCTCCAAAGCTATAGAGAAACCCTGCCTCAAAAATATTTTTAAAAAGTCAGATAAATATAAGAAAGCACAATGAAAACAAATCCCAGTAAGCTGAAGCATTTCTCTGTGCACATAAGCTCTACAGGAGCATTTTTAGTATTTTAATACAAAATGAAGATTCGACTTGGCCTCTTCCATTTCTCATTCACTCTCATAAGTCTTTTCTATATTCTCCAAAACAAACCTAGGTGGACGGCTCATGGCCACTGCCCAAACTGCTTCTTGATTAACTACACAAAATACGATGACCTATTCTAGGAATTTACCTAATTTCTTTTTTTTTTAACTTTTTAAAGATTTATTTATTTATTTGATGTTCATTGGTGTTTTGCCTGCATGTATGTCTGTAGGAGGGTGTCCAATCCTCAGGGACTGGAGTTACAGATAGTTGTGAACTGCCATGTGGGTGCTGGGAATTGAACCCCGGTTCTTTGGAAGAGCAGCCAGTGCTCTTAACTGCTGAGTCATCTCTCCAGTCCCAAGAATTTACCTAACTTCTAACTATGTTACATTTCTTTGGGCAGTTATCAAATTTTCTTTGTTGGTAAACATTCCTAAGACACACACATATTTTAACGTGACCTCTGGCTCTTTTCTTAGACTACATTCCTGAAAATGGAATTCTGAGGGAAGCGGTACCTTGGGAAATTCTATGTCAATTTACACTCCCATCAGGAGTACAGCTGTGACTGCCCCACATCACTGCCTATGGGAAACCGTCTTTTTAAATCTTCCCCAAGTAAGAGGAGAAACAGGACAGGAGGAGTACTGCCGCGTGGTTGTTTTATCTGGTTTACTGATTAAAGGGGACAGGAAAGTAAACATCTCCCCTGGGCTCAGGTCCAGAAGCAGGATGCTGGCCTAGAATGAATGGTAACAGTTGTGAAAATCAAGTGTCCACTGTGGTATTTGCTTATTTTCTTATGTTCTATGTTTTCCTTACTATGTTTAGAAAACAACATACAGGGCTGGAGAGATGGCTCAGTGGTTAAGAGCGTTGCCTGCTCTTCCAAAGGTCCTGAGTTTAATTCCCAACAACCACATGGTGGCTCACAACCATCTGAAATGAGATCTGGTGCCCTCTTCTGGCCTTCAGGCATACAGGCAGAAAGAATATTGTATACATAATAAGTAAATAAATATTTAAAAAAAAAAGAAAACAACATACAGTTTAATTTAATCTGTACTTCCTAGGTATATAGTACTAAGACAAATCTTTTCTCCTGATGAAGCAATCTACAGAAGCGGGGAGGCCAGCATTAGAGAATTTAGACAAGTGTAAACCCTTATCTGTGGAGGCCAGCCCAGCAGCCTCCCCGCTGTCAGGCAGCCCTGCAGCCTCCCCGCTGTCAGGCAGCCCTGCAGCACTCTCGGGCTAGTATCCCCCCAGCTCATGCTCTGAAGAGGAAACTGAGTCTGCGTCTGCCAGGGGAACAAGAAGAGCATGGCCATCACCCTGAGAGTCTCATTGACTTGAAGTTCCTCCTTCTCTGAAGCCAACATTATTCAGATTTTTGGACTTGGCATGCAAAAGAAAATCTTGCAATGTGTAGTCTTAAAAAAATTATTTTGAACAAAGTTTCCTTGTCTTAAAATTTCCTTAACTGAATGTCTCCTTGTTCAGGAGATGGTTAGATATTTTTGTTTCCGTCACTAATTACTAGTGAATTTTTCTTGAGTCCCTTTTAATCTCTTCATTAAAAAAAAAAAAAGGCTTTCTTTCGACCTACTATCTCTTTAAGGCAAAATCTGTATTGTTGCCTTCCAGTTTCTCCTTCACTTGAAAAATATTTTTCCACAGGAAAAAATAAATTTTCCTACCTTTATGAAGATAGGGAAGCTTGCTGCCAAGCCTGGTGGCCTGAGTCTGACCCTGGAACCCATATGGTGGAAGGAGAGAGCTAACCCCTACAAGTTGTCCTCTGATCCCCAGACGCACACATGCCTATCTACATACATACAAGCAACTAATCCACTTTTTAAATGAAAAACAAAATGTAATGATTTCATCAGATAAGCCTGAGGTAGTTTGTTTTCCTTCAGATCTGTATGCTCAAGGCCTTTACATGGGGGCAGAAGTGCACAGCTAGTGAAGAAACTAGGGGTGCACAAGGGGGCACAGAGCTTGATGGGCTGTGGTAGCCCCAATTTGCTCTTGTTCCCACTTCCAAATCCTCTGTGCTTTCCTTAGTGTGAAGAGCAGTACGAATGTGTTTAAGAAATGCATTAGCTCTTGATAATGCGCCCTAAAATTCCCTGGAGTCGTAGCCGAGTTTGTGCACTGTCAGGCACAGTGACACATGCCATGCCTGGAATCCCAGCCTGTGAGGGCAGAAACAGCAGGATGTCAAGCTGGAGGCTAGCCTTGTCTACATGGTGAGAGGCACTGCTTTGGACTTAGCTTTTGCAAAGGCTCCAACAGGAAAAAAAAACAAAATACAGTTACTTGCTTTATAATTCCATATCGCCAAGAAAAACAAAGATTTTAAAACTGATCTTTTAAATCAAGAGAGATAAATAATATCCAAGACCCCAAATTTGCACATGGCTGTGTCTGGTGACATGTCAGAAACCTCACATAGACCAGTATCTATTGATTATTTTCTTCTTTTACAGGGAAAAGAACTTGAAAATGGCTAATCTACTTTTTGGAATCTGACTTCTTCAGCTCTTTTTTGCCTATATAAAGCCAAGGTCCTACCCTCAACTTATCAGAACGTCTCATTTTATACCATGGGATTTCCTGATTCTAGAGTTGCAAATAAAAGTCAGTTTTAAAAGGTCTCAAGGGCTGGAGAGATGGTTCAATGATTGTTAAGAGCACTGACTGACTTCCAGAGGGCTCAAGTTCAATTCCCAGCACCCACATGGTAGCTCACGCTGTCTGTAATTCCAGTTCCAGGGGACCTGACACTCATGACAAAACATTAATGCACTTAAATTAAAAATAATTAAAAAAAAATCTTAAAACTTTTCTGAGCCGAGCGGTGGCGGCGCACACCTTCAATCCCAGTACTTGGGAGGCAGAGGCAGGCGGATCTCTGTGAGCTTGAGGTCAGCCTGGTCTACAGAGAGAGTTCCAGGACAGGCTCCAAAGCTACACAGAGAAACCCTGTCTCAAAAAAAAAAAAAAAAAAAAACTAAAAGAAAAAAATTCTGAAATTTTATTTTTTGACATTGCTGCCGAGGCTCCTCAGGACAGAGCCAGCCACCAGGAAAACAATTACAGAATTAGGGACTATAACTTCTAGCTCCTCTCACCGGCTTTCAGGAAAGATAGGCTACAGCAAGCTGTATAAAAACTCTTGAACCACAAAGATTGAAGAGTTTCCAGGTTGTAAAACACAGATACCAGGAGGGCGGTGCACCCAGGGGGGAGAGGGCCCAGAAGCTAGACATCTCTAGACCTTTCTACCACTGTCCCCTCCAGTCATCTCCTCATCCACATGAAGAGATGTGCATATGTATCTCTATAATATCTTTTTAATAAACCAACATTAAAGAAACAAATAATTACCCTGAGTTCGATGCACAAGTCCTGTCAATTAACTGAACCCAGGAGATGGTGTCATGGGGCCCCTGGCCAGTCAGAAGTACAGATGGCCTGGTTTCTTAGTGAGGAAGTCTCAGAAAACTAAACCTCAATCCGAGGGATTGCTTCAGAATGGAACTGAACTATAAGATACTCAAACTGTGTCAGCTGCAGAACCATCTAGAATGTAAGGAAAACCCTACACACTACAAGGATCACAGAAACATACCAGGTTAAAGTCGGAAGGAATGGACAGGAGTGCTTATGCCTTTCGTTTACACGGCCATACATGAGTGATCTGCTTCAGCTGCTCTCTCAGTACCCAGCTGTGGATCCTCAGACTAGTTAGCATTACCTCTGCACACTTCAGTCTTCGAGTATTTAATTTAATGCCCACCACTACCTGCTCTCCTGGGGGCTCCCTTATCATCTTTGGCAAGGTGTAGGGGAAAGAAAATGCTGTGGATTCAGTCAATTCAGGATTCCAATTTCAACTCTGCCTCATAGCCTCCAAAATCTGGTCACGTCACCCACTTTACAACATTATCTTGAGTATGAAGTATGTCGATCCATGTAAAGCCCCGAAGACACATAGAGGTATTAGTCTCTCACGCCCCTTCCTTTCCACAGATGCCGTTTAACAAATGATTCCTGTGCCTTTCACGATGAATGAACCAATGTAACAATGAGCACTTTGGGCGGTTTTGGGCACAAAGGGCAGAAGAATTTGTCCCCATCAGTTCCCAACAAAGGCCACCATCTAGCTGCTCGAACCCGGGACCGGAGAGCTTCTAGAGGCAATGATCACTGGTGGTGAGCTTGGGCTGACTGATGGAGGACAGAGGACTTGGTGTGAGTACTGGCAACTTCATGTGATAGAAAAACAAAATAACTGACAGAAAACTTAAGGAAGGGTGTGTTCTGGTTCAGTTTGAGGGCACGGTCCATTGTGGGGGCAGGAATGGCAGCAGGCGCATGAGATGGCTGGCCATGTGTACCACAGTCAAGAAGTAGAGGGAAATGAATGCTGCTGTTCATCTCACTTCCCCTTCCACTGAGCTGGATCCCTCACCCAGTTAGTCCAGAGTGAGTCTAAATCCTATCAAGTCAGCAACCAATACTAACCATTAAAGCACGTCACCTCCAAAGACAGCCATCCAAGCAACCCATTAAGACACAATGCTAATGCCTCTTAAATTACCTGTTGCTGCTATTCCCTGGCCTTTCTTAGGCTGCTTTGGGGCTGTGTACTGGAAGAATTCATTTCCATGGCCCGTAGTTGCTTGATCCAGTCCAAAAAGAGAAGCCAGCCTGGCACTGTTAATGAAAAATGAAAATAAAATTCCGTATGACATATCTCAAACTTTTAATCACTGAAAATGCTAATGCCTGTGATCGTAAATATCTTTGGTAGTGTAGCCCACCATTCGGTAACAGAAGTAACAGCTGAAGCTCTCTGAAATCAAGATTATATCTGTTATTTGAAATCAATAGCTGACCCAAGTTCCATCTGATTTACACTTTGTAAAGATTTCTCAAAGACATTCCCCACTTCCCACCTCACTGCCACTTCCCACCTCACTGCCACTTCCCACCTCACTGCCACTTCCCACCTCACTGCCACTTCCCACCTCACTGCCACTTCCCACCTCACTGTCCTCATGACATCATTTATGATGCCATCACCTCTGTATCATTTTTATCACTGCAATAATCTCCTAATTCAACCCCCTACCTACATCTTGTGCAGTTTTTTCTCCCCCCATACCTACTCCAGTACTGGGAAGTGACCATAGGGCACTGAACACGCCAGGCAAGTGCTCCAGTACCAGGCTACATCCACCACCATCACGACGGAGTCTTGCCAGGCTGGCCTTGACCTTTCAGTCCTCCTGTGCAGCCGATATCACAGGCCTGTGCCACCAGACCCAACTCTTCTCTACTTCTCATGCATTCCACACACCGCACCTACATAATCATTCCTGATGACTGTTCAGTGTTAGTAAGATAGAGATGGCTCAGTAAGTGAAGGTGCTTGTCGCCAGTCCCGATGACATGAGCTCAGTCTGCAGAAACCATGTGGTGAGAGGAGAGACACAATTCCTACAAGATGCCCCTGGCCTCTATACTCACGCCATGACAAACGTGTGTGTATCCATGCATCTACATAGATACACATTCACATGTACACACAATACACACTATAAATAAGAAACAAATAAATGTAAAAAAAATATTTTTTTCTAATTCAAACTCTACAAAATGAAGATGGTTTTAGAAGATCCTTTAAAAATTCATCCCCTTACTTCCAAGGCTTCAGACATGGCCATTTCTTATCTCTAAGTCTGTGCCACAGCTACTATATGGAACTTTCAGCTTCTTTTCTTTTAAAAGATTTTAAATATTATTGTCATTGGTTGTCGTTGGGTTTTGTTTTGTGTATGTGTGTTTCCTTCTTTTTTTTCTGTCCTAGAAATCGTGATTTTGCCCGCATTAGACTGTGTCACATGCATGCAGTGCCCACAAAGGCCAGAAGAGGGCACCAGATTTCATGCAACTTGTGTTAAAGAGGGTCAAGGCAAGATCTTTTTAAACTCCAGCCTTTAAGATATGCTTATTCTTCCTACCTGAAGCATTCTTCCTGCATTTGGTCTCCCTGGAAGCTAGCCTGATCTAAGTTAGATGCCTCCTAGGGCTTCAAAGATGTTAAGCACTACTAAGTGCTAGGTAAACACAGGTGAACAAAACTGGATTTTTTTTTAATAAGCATGTTTCCGTGAAAATATTTTTATCATCTTTTCTTCGCTTTTCCCGGAAACTTTTTTGTGCTTATATTTGTCTTGAGAATCTCCAAGACCACCCTCAGTTGTTTTGTTTGTTTGGTTGGTTTTTTGTTTTGTTGGGGTTTTGTTTTTTTGTTTTGTTTTGTTTTGTTTTTTCTGAGACAGGGTGTCTCTGTAGCTTTGAAGCCTGTCCTGGTGTAGCTCTTGTAGATCACGTTGGCCTCAAACTCACAGAGATCCGCCTGCCTCTGCCTCCCGAGTGCTGGGATTAAAGGCATGCGCCACCACCGCCTGGCTGAAACGGATTCATTTTCCAGAAGTTTATGGTCAAATGAAGAGACTAGATATCACAAATTATGAGTTATCCAAAGGGGCAACCATTAGAGTGTTGTACTCCACTAACTAAGTCCTAAATTTCTTTTAATTCTTACCCAGTGTGTTGTATTCTGTTATAACAACACAAATCAACTGAGAAAACAATTAACTCTAAAATCCAGTCTAGCCCTGAACTCCTCTTCTCCTAAGTTGGGGTGTACAAATTCTGAAACTTCTCAACAACTCAAATCTAGCTTTTTTAAAGTATAATTCATGGGCTCGAGAGATGGCTCAGCAGTTAAGAGCACTAGCTATTCTTCCAGAGGTCCCAGGAACCACATAATGGCTCACAACCATCTGTAACAAGATCTGGCACCCTCTTCTGGCCTGTAAGCAGAACACTATATACATAATAAATAAGTAAATCTTAAAAAAAAGTATAATTCATATGTGTGCACAAATACATATTAGTATTTCACAAAATACATTCAATATGGTTTGGACCTATTATTCTTTTCTTAAAGAATCTAGAATGCTTCCTTTAGTGTCCTGCAAATGGGGCCACAAACGTTTACTTTAAAGACAAAAAGGTTTAAATTACAATGCAAATGTAATACTTGAGAGTAATGCTGATTCAAGTATGATATCAACAAATGCTAAAAGAACATAGGAGAAAATGAGAATTTTTCTTTTAGCCAGGGTGACTTAAAGACTCCCTGTCCTTCCTTCTTTCCTTCCTTTTCTTTCTTTCTTTCTTTCTTTCTTTCTGTCTGTCTGTCTGTCTGCCTTTCTTTCTCTTTTTGAACAGGAGAAATGCTTTTATTGGAAGAGCAGTATGGACATGAGAGGAAAGGATGACAGAAAGCAAGGGAGGGGGACTCTCTTTTTAAAGACTGTTTGACTATGAGATCTGTACATCAAGCTGGACTTGAACTCACAGAAATCTATCTTCCTCTGCTTCTGAGTGCTGGGGATTAAAGACGTGCCACTATGCCTGGCTGAGATTCCATAAAGGAGTAAAATTCTGGAATAGTGAAAAACTGTAATGATCTGTCCTGTCCCTTTAAGAGACAAGCCACGCCCACTCCCCCCATCTGCTGAGGCAAGAGATCTTCAGCTTCCAGCCTGAATCCTTTCCTCCTTTCCTTTTTCATCTCCCTCTCGAATTCTGCCTCTCCCCACTTCTGTCTCTCCCTTCTCTCCCTCTCTGTCTCTCTCTTCCTCTCTCTGCTTCTCTGCTCTTCTCTTCTCCTTCTCCCCCTTCCCTTCCATAACCCACTAAATAAATATCCAACCTCATTCTGCATGGAGTGCCTATCCATGTCTCTGTCTCTTGCTGGCCGTGTGTCTCCCTGCCTGGGACCAGCCGCCTTCGGAGACCTGCAGTGCAGTCTTATGGTGTGCCCATCCGTCTGTCTCTCCTCATGGCCTGCTGCTACTGCTCGGGGACCTGCAGCATTTTTGCTGCTGCAGCCGCTGGGGATCCTGCAGCATTTTACTTTTATCATTTTAAATTTTTTAAAACTTATTATTACTTTGTATGTACAATGTGTATGTGTTTGCCTGTGTAGGGCGTGTATGTTCATGCAGGACCAGAGGGCAATTCAACTTTGTGCAATTGGTTCTCATCTTCTATCTTTGTGTGGTTCCTAGGGATTAAATTTAGGTTGTCAAGGCTTTATCCATGATAGGTATTATTGCTTGCACACAAATAACTGACATTAAAGGAAGGACAGGTGGGATGCAGCTCAGAATACTCACTCGAGTATTTGAGCCCAGGAATTTAAAATTTTACAGTGTAATATAGTGAGATGCTATCTCAAAACAAGGCCTTGTGGGAGCTGGAAAAATGGTTCAGATGTTAAGAGCACTTGTAGAAGACTTGGGTTCAGCTTCCAGCATCCAGATGATGGTTCACAACCATCTGCAAGCCCAGCTTCAGAGAACCTGACACCCTGTACATATACTCGTACACACTAACATTAAGTAAATAAATCTAAAGTTTTCAAAGCCTTTTGATTTTATGTTTATCATTGCTGGATTGATTTTATTCTACTGCTTAAAGGGTAGGAATTATGCCTTATTCCTCTCCGTATTAGCTGAAGTCAAATATGATGTACTTAGCAGACATTTGCCTATTTCTTCATTTCAGAGTCATAAACGTGGGGAAAGGGCTAAGACCAAAGGAGAAGGCATGTCTTTTGATTACTGCTTTTAGGTTAACCATTGATTTTAACGTTGGGGAACTTGCTCAGGTTAGATTAGTCTGGTTAATCAACACACGGAAGGCAGAAGCAGGTGGATTTAGCAGAAGATGGAGGCTAGTCTGGCATAAATTGTGAGTACCAAGCCAACCAGAGACGCACAGTAAAATTATGTCTCAAAAACAAACAAGTAAGGAGGGCCAGGCGGTGGTGGCACACGCCTTTAGTTCCAGGAGGCAGAGGCGGGCGGATCTCTGTGAATTCAGTCACATAACCAACCATCCTAGACATTAGTACTCGTGCTTTGATTACTTTTCAATATCCTAAGGAGGATCAAGAAAGTTGTGAAGTTAAGTCACACTGCGGGCAGCATTTTACAAGTAAACTGCACTGCAAAAGAGGAACTGAAAGGCAGTGTCGTGTTCACAGTCAGCTGCTCCACTTCCTTAACAAAGCCAAATCAGAGACCGCTCACGAAACTTTCTGTAGTCTTGTTTCTTCATTTAATGTGTGTGTGTGTGGGGGGGGGGTGTTTTGTCTGCACGTGTGTCCTGTGCACCATGTTCACGCCTGGTGCTCAACAAGGCCAGAAGACGGTGTTGGATTCCCAGGACTGGAGTGAGATGGCTGTGAGCCACCATGTGGGTAGTGGAATCAAACCCAGGTCCTCTAGAAGAGAAGAAGCCAGTGCACTTAACCACTGCACCATATTCCCAGCTCACTTTTCCTGTCCTGAAGCTTAAATTTGATTCTGGTTTCCTAACTACTACTGGGGACAAAACTCAATCTACCTTTTTTTTGTTGAGTCTTTCATCATCCTAGGACCCTCAGTCATATCTGTAATGAATCTCGAGTCCTTCATGAAGCCTGCTCAGGGAAGCAGACCTGCTCAGGGAAGCAGACTAGCTGATCCCGGAAAAACTGTTCTTGGGTCAGGAATCAGGAGAAGAGCACATGACTGTCATCTGCCTAGTCAGCAGCAGATTCTTTGATGCATGGAAGTTGAGAGCCTTAAAATTCCTTTAAATATTCTCACATAGTGAAGACTATGAAATTAAAATATGCCTTAAAGCTAGGTGTGACACCACATGCTTTTAATCCCAGCATTCAGAAGGCAGACAGGCAGATCCTTGTGAGTTCAGGGCCAGCTTGGTCTACAGAAAGAATTCCAGGGCAGCCAGGGCTTCACAGTGAAACCATCTCAAATAAATAAACAAACTTTAAAGATATTCAAAAGGCCCCATATACAGACACACACAAAACAGGTTTTGGCTGAAAATCAGGTCAACAGCAGAAGAGGTTGTAAATGTTTGGGGAGAAATATGAAAGAATGGAAACATTTTTCTAGTCAAAATGGTAACTTCAGGTTCACTGAGAGAACCTGTCTCAAAAAATAAGGTGGAAGGCTACAGAGATCACCTGATAGTGAACCCCTGTCCTCTACAAACATGTTCACAGAATGCATACACCACACATAACGTGACATGCACACATGTGTGTGTGCATGCATGCATGTGTGCACATATAAGTAAAACCAAAAGAGAGCTAGTCATTTTACGGTCATTTCTGTATTGAATTCCAGTATAGCAGATCAATCACTATTGTGACCGCTCAGCATCTGATAGGATGGGCATGTTGATGCGTCTGTCTTTTCTTAAGTAGGTTCATCACTATGCAGAAAACTTGTACAGTACATGTTCAAAGAGGGGCTCTGCAAAGATGTAAGCTTTGCAGTTACCAAGGCTGAAGGGAGTCGAGAGGTCCACTAAGACAATGGAAGGATGAACAACACTAAGTTAATTGTTAAAGGCGGGGAACCTCCCTTTTAAAACGTCTCTCCCGCTGGCTTTAAGCCTTGGGTGATTTCGCAGGCACTTCCTGAGCAATCAGCATCATCCGGGAGTAAAAGTCCCGAGTGCCACAGTGAAACGGCAACATAAGCAGTTCTGTCAGGACTTAGATTTCAGTGGCTTCCACGTGCAAAGACTCGTGGGAAGAAGGAGATAAAGCAGTCTATTCTGCCTGGGGCTGTGAAGGCAGAGAACCACCGAAAAGGTAACGTCCACGGTAGGCTTTGGAGGAAGCTGACCCTCCAGCTCCTGGTTCAAAGTGTCACCACCTGGTTCACCGGAAAGAGAAAGTTTCTTGAGTTTACAACTCATATTTATAGGAGCTGAGTCCTATAAAAGCCCCGAGGCAGGCAGTCTTCTGGGCAATCATCTCCATTTCACTGGAGATACTGTGATTCATAAAGCAAAAGGGTGTCAAGGGAGATGCCAGGTCCTGAACCAAATCTGACACCAGAGTGCGGCCAGGGTCTGGACCCGGAAGAGACGGACCCCTGCAGCCACCCACCGGTCTCTCGGCCCTGCGCTCCGGCCCCGACATCTCAACCACTCACCCGCCGCTTGGAGAGAGGAAGTCGGTGTCATCCTCGTCCCCAGCCCCGAACATCACGTCGGCTTTTGCTCGAGTGAAGGGAGGAAGCCGGATGTTCCCAGGGCCTGTCACAACCGATGTCGTAAATTGCCGCAGCGGCGAGCTGCTTTCCGGCAGGAAAACTCTCTCGTAGTAGCGGGGCCCAGAGGAGACCCGGCGGTGGAGAAGGTGGAGCAAAGGCAAATGACACGGTGAGCGCCTGGTGACGCGAGGCCTCGCCAGCCCCCCGAGAGGGTGGAGCTCCTGGGCTCGGAGGGAGGATTGGTCAGATAACCCAGGGGGCGGGTCCAGGGCGGGAATCGGTGGCCTCTGCTGCGGTCGTGGGACACGTCGAGCCGGGCAGTAGTGGCGGGGGCTTGGGAGAAGTCCAGACCGGGTGAGGGGGATCCAGTTCCGAGAGGAAGGCACGGGCGGCGGAGCTCGTCCTGGAAAGGTAAGGCCTTCTCTCCTCCCTTTCCTAGTCCCAGCGTGTTCGCCGTCCTTTTCCCTCCCGACCCAGGACCCCCCGCCGCTCCTCTAGGCTGTGTGGACCGGGAAAGAGCCCGTGACTACAAGTCCGGGGATCTGAGCGGTGCGGTGGCCCTGCCCCTACAGCGTTCTGCTGTTATGCCCTTAGGCAGGATGCTCGGGACCTCAGTTTCCCTATTTACGCAAAGGACCGTGTGTCCACTGCTTCCATGTGCGGCTTGCCAAGGTTTTAAATCTCAGCGATCATCGAGTCCTATCCGGGTCTCTTCGTAATCAACGAATTTGCAAGCAAGAAAACTAACCGCTTGGGTGACTAGTCCGAGGTCACGCAGAGTAAAGGGAAAACCTGATCCTTTGTATCAGGGTTTAGAGAGCTGACGAGTGAAGGACAGCCCTGGCCCTTAACTTGACTGTGTGGCATCTTTCTTGGGGAAGGACCCCGATTCTAAAATCCAGATAGGAGAGGTTCAGAAGAGCTGAGACATTCGGGAGGGTGGATGATGGGACTTTGAAAGTAGAAAATCATCAGCTCACACTTGCTGGGCTCAGTTTTGCTGCCAAGGTTGCAAGTCAGTGTTACTTGTTGCTGACTTCTCCGCCTCTAGTCTTCACCGTGTGTGTGTGTGTGTGTGTGTGTGTGTGTGTGTGTGCGTGCGCGCGCGCGCGCGCACGCGTGGGTTCTGTGTTCTGTATTTCTTTGGTGAACCCGATATCATTTTTGAACGATCATGAACCAGACCTGGTGAGCCACGCTGTGAATACGCAGATAGTGTGTCCCATTGTAGCGTCCATTTCCACAATGTCATCTTCTCTGTCAGGTTGTTCCTCTAAGTGTCCCTTACCGGAATGCTTTAGTGTTAGGGTGATGTTGAAGGGATGGGTAGCTCCCTCCAAGAGAACTTTGTACCTCCTGGCACTTCCCTCTTTATTATAGTTTTTGAACTACTAAGTTGTAAGTCTTCTTGACCACAGTGGGTTCTCATTTAATTTTTTTATTAGATTAATTAACAGAATTTATCCTTGTTCCCTGGTTCCTTAATGTATTCATACCCCCGCCCCCGACCCAAAGAGCCAGCGATGGCTCCTGTCTTTTTATAGGTAGCTTCCAGAAAGATAAAAATGCTGTACTGGCTGTGAACTGTCTGGGTTGCTTGGTCTCTTTTGTTCATTGAAGATGACTGTACTATTGTCTAAAACTCCCAGGGAGGAGGGGGAAGGGGGATAAAATAACTAGAAATATTATACATTACTTACAATTTTTGTAAGTAAATTATTCGTGTTTATCTTCAGATAAGGCTGTTGGTCTGCTCCTGTGTTTATTTTACAGATTAAGACGGTTCAAGCAGTGAAGTCTGACTGTCAGAGCAATGATAACTGAAATATGCAGTAGGCCTAGAGCAATAGCTCTGTTTAAATTGTGAACTTGAGTGGGTGTTGCGGGTGTGTGTGTGAATGGATAGGTTCTAACTCTCTCTTTCTCCCTCTCCTCTCTCTCTCTTAGTTTTTTTTTGGGGGGGGTTGTTTTGTTTGGTATTTTGTTGTTTTGCTTTGTTTGAGACAAAGTTTCTCTATGTAGCCCCAGCTGTCCTGGAACTCACTCTGTAGATCAGGCTGGACTGGAACTCAGAGATCTGCCTGCCTCATTGCTGGGTATACACCCAGCATGGTTTTTTGTTTGTTTGTTTGGTTGGTGTTTGGCTTTTTGTTGTTGTTGGTGGTGTTTTTATTTTTTTGAAATCGTCTATTTATGTAGTAGCCCTAGCTTCCCTGAAACTCAATATGTAGACCAGACTGGCCTCGAACTCTCACTGAAGTCCTCCTAAGAGAACGTCTGACCTCTTTTCTTGCATTCTTGAGTGGAGGAGTTTTTTTTTTTTTCCTCATGGGTGTTTTAAATGGCCTTTCTTAGATTTTTAGTAACCCTAAAACTGGCCTGTTTGGTTATTGGACACAGTAGGCAGGCATAGTATCTGATCTTGAATTCCATTCCTAACTTGAGGAAGAGAAAGGTAGAAATGAGTCTTCCTTTCAGCTTAGAATTGGAAATGTAGGATCTGGTGCTTCTGCAAAGCTGGTCTTCCTGGATTAGGATATCCAGAGTCAGGAAACCTGAGTTCCTGCCCCAGCCTTTGTAACACTTCAGAGTTTGAGCCAGGTTCCCCAAACACCTTTAAAAAGCGACAGATCAGATGTAGACATGTCTGCTGAGAACCGGGAGTGCAGAGATAAGTAATAAATACCGCCCTGAGCTCAGGTTCCAGTTGAGTGTGTTTGTTCTGTTTCTTAACCATACAACTCTGAATGTGTAGAAAATGTATTGATCATCAAGTGCGGTGGCACACCTCTTTAATCCTAACACTTGGAAAGCAGAGGTAGGTGAATCTTGAGAATTAGAGGCCAGCCTAGTCCATATAATGAGTTCCAGGTCAGCCAGGGTTACATAATGAAAATTGTACATCCATACAGAGAGTGTGAGAGAGATTTCCTGAATATTAACTAGGAAGCAGCAAATTTAATAATTTCTTTCAAATCAAATTTGCAAAAAATGACAACTTTTTTATTAGGCAAGTTCATATCTTCTGGTAGTATAGAGATATGAATTGAATGTAGATTTAAACTGTATATATTCTATTCACTCAAGTCACTAAAAACAGAATATATAATACAATTGGAGAGATACTACCTCAGAATCTACTGTGTGTAAAACTTTGTGTCAATTGAAAATGAACCTCTAGGAAATTATTGTAGAATATCAAAGTAGGAAGAGATTCTATCTTCTCTTCATTATAATCCAAAAGGAAACTGGACTGAAGGTTCTTTTTTTTTCCCCTGAGACAGGGTGTCTCTGTTGCTTTGGAGCCTGTCCTGGAACTCTCCTGTAGAACAGGCTGGTCTCAAACTCACAGAGATCCGCCTGCCTCCGCCTCCCGAGTGCTGGGATTAAAGGCGTGTGCTAGCACCACCCAGTTTCTGGATTGAAGTTTTTAAGATTAATACCATTGCCCTAAACAGTGTTTACCATGCCTTAAACCTCAGCCAATCTGCATAACCTCACATTCTGGGGATTAATTTTTTCCTTTTTAGATTCCTGAACTACTGAAATTGTAGGGTTACATAGAGGGCTTTGAAGATGAATAGAATGCCAAAAGGATGCTGGGAGGAGGTCAGGTTTTCCAGGTTGAAGGAGCAGCTTTGGCAAACACAGGCAGGCACATGTCTCCATGGCACTGGGGATTGCAGCCAGGATTTTGCACAAGCTGGGCAAGCTTCTACCACTAGGCTACGGATCACCAGCCTGCAGGGGGCTTTCAAAATTTTACAAGACAAGAGTTGTCCTTTACCTGCTACACTGAGGGCTGTGGCTAACTAAAGTATGTTAAGTAGGGAATCATACACAGTGTACCGTCCTATTTCAGCTTTAAGCACAAATATCCTCTGTAGGCTTTGTTGTTTTTAACCTAAAACCTCAATTTTTTTCTTGGAGTATGGTTCTCAGAGATCTACGGACTACAGGCAAATCTTACCTCAGCTGCCTGTTTCATAGTTCTGTTGCAACACAGCCGTGCTCATTCATTTACATATTATCTAGGTAGAGTTGAGTATACGCAGTGAAAACGACATGAGCCACAGTGTTTAAATGTTTAGTAATTGGTCCTTTATAGAAAGCTTATCAACCCCTGGCCTGAATCATGTATGGCTGCTTTCTTCAACATACAATAACTGCTTAAAAGCCATTCACAAAGCAGTCTGACTACAAAATTTTTCTAGATATTTACGAAATTTTCTGCCAACCTTTAGAGTTGATTCCTGCATCTAACAACGGGTTGTGGGCATCTGTGTGACTGTCTCTTACCTAGTCTAGCCAAAGCATTCGACTTCATTTTCATAGACACAACCACTAGAATGGTTCTGTAGAGTAGAAGTCATACACTTAAGCTTTGGGGTCAGATTTCTTCACTTACTTGTATAGGCCTTTGACAAGTTGCTGAGTTTTTTCTTCTGTAAAATAGGGGTAACAATAGTACCCATTTTCTAAGTTCTTCTGAAGGTAATATGAGTTAATTCACATAAGGCACACAGTGCTAGAAGAATACTTACAGATAGTAAGTGCTCAATTAGTGTTGGTGTACCCAACCTAGCAGGGATAGGTCCCACAGCAGTGGTCCCTGGGTCTCATGCTAAGAGAAAAGGAGTCTAAAGCCAGGGCCAGCCAGAGAAGAACCCTTTCTCCTGGAAAGAGATTTAAACCTGTCTAGAAGACTCAGTGCTGTGTAGAGCCACACCTTGCCTGGGACTGTTAGGTAGGCCTTCCTGAAACTGCACCTTCACTTCAGAATCCTGAAGGTAAACTGTAGGGGGAGGGCCAGTACATTTTTTTCCCTCTTCCTGGTGTGGCCACATTGATAAATCTCTTCCTCCTAAGTCAAATTATTCAGGGGTTTTTTAGGATTCTTTTCTGAGAGTTTTAAGGTTAATAATATACTCAGAGAATTTTAAAAAATATGTAAAAGAAACCCAAAGCTATATTTGAGTTCAAGATGACAAGTTTCTAATTAGATCAGCATGAAATTATTTATACTCTAAATTAGAATATGCTTGGTTTGTTTGA